GTGGGGGATAAGACTTCGATTCTCAATTTCTTTAACCATTTTAAGTTCAGTAGTGTTAAGTGCATTCAAACTGTTGTGCAACCCATCTTCAGAACTCTTTTTTGTCTTGTAAAACTAAAACTTTTTACCCACTAAACAGCAACTTGCTTTCTCTCCCTAGCCCCTGGCAACCACCGTTCTACTTTCTGTCTCCATGAATTTGACTACTCTGAGTATCTCATGTAAGTGGAGTCATATAATATTTGTCTTTGTGTGACTGGCTTCTTTCACTTATAATTGATATTTTAATATAGTTTTGTGTAGAAATGTCTGAATATGCCATTGTTTATTCAACCATTTCCCTGCAGTGGGACAATTAGGAGCTTATACTTAAAAAGTCATTACAAATTAACACTGAAATTATCGTCCTTATAATAAAGATGTAGTTTTGAGCCCGGGGCCTCATGAAGCATATCTAACTCACACGTCTCTTCATCTTGGGAGCCGCGAGAACTATTTTTCAAGTTGCATATAACCGACGCACAAAGAGCAATAAAAAAATGACACATTTTTCAGTAAATTAGAAACGATCGTTTCATTTTCAAAGGTTTAATTCTATTTTTGTAATAAAACACTATGGCCCCGAGGGAAAAAAAATTTTTCTTCTGGTGTGGTAGTCAATGTGTTAAAAAGAGGAAAGGTATACAGATTTATTAATACTTAAGGTGTACACGTGGGAGCCTTCAGAATGAAGACCCAAAGATGCAGGGGAAATTATCCAATTTTATGCTAAGGTTCAACAAAGTATAGGCAGCTGTGCAGAAACACGATTGGACTAAAAGGGTGAGATCTAATCCTAAGACAGTGGGGAAACCCTACGAGGCCTGTCTGTCTGGATTCTTCTTGACCTCTCTGACCGGGCCTTATGACCTACAGTCAAACAAGATAGGTCACATAATTTCTTTACGGCCAGTTTATAATTTCAGGTTTTATAGCTGGCTTTTGGGAAAAGGGTGTTTGGTTTTTATGACTTGCTCTGGGGCAAAGGGATTCTAGTTTCCATGGCTAGCCTCAGGGGAGAATGGGCTGAGGGGCAGGAGGAGAGAAGAAAGTCAGAGAAAACCTTTTGCTTCTGAGGCCTTCATTTTGGGGTACTGTTTCCTGAGCCCCAACATTTACAAAATATTACTATGGCAGTAGTTGACTAAGACATTGGTCTTAGCAAGATCTTACACAAATTCTTCAGTTCTTTTTGAGGAAACATGATTGAATTTATACAATGCATTAGAGTCTCCTGTGTCCAGAGTACTGCCCTGGACACCTGTTGGATCAGGAAGAAGAAAGTGGTGACATGGAGAAAATACCAAGAAAAAATGAGGGAAAAGACAAAGATTTTTCCTTTTGAGACATATCTACCTGTACACGTTCAAACTTCAGCCTTCTGAGTATGACTTCAAGTTTTTGCCGTATTCAAGTACCAATCCAGCTACTGTATTTGAGATATTTTAATTGAGTTAATAATTTAACTAAGCAAGTATTATGTATTCTAGTCTTGTTATAGGCATATATCTCAAAAAGAAAATGTATATAGAAGTATATGGAAATTAAAATATTAAAAGAGGTCCATCTAATTATCACTTACATTTTTTTTTTCTTTTAGAGACAGGTTCCCACTCAGGCTGGAGTGAGTGGTGCAATTATAGCTCACCGCAGCCTCAAACCCCCGGGGCTCAAACCATCCTCCTGCCTTAGCTTCCTGAGTGGCTGGGACTACAGGCACATGCCACCATAGGTGGCTAATGTTTTTAATTTTTTCTGTAAAGATGAGGGTCTCAGACCAGCTGGGGCTGGTCTCAAACTCTTGGCTTCAAATGATCGTCCTGTCTCAGCCTCCTGAAATGCTGGGATCACAGCCATAAGCCACCGCACCTGGACTTTTAAATGGCTTAAAAAACTACTTTGTGGAACACTGCACTTAAAATTTCTTCTTTCCCAAAGCGGAACCCAATTCTCAAGTATGGCTTCCTTTCGGGAAACATGTCCCCAGGGATCTCTTTGTCCTTTGTCTTCTTGTCCGAGTCCTCACCATTGCTGGTCTCATGGAGGCTCTCTCCGGCTCATTCAGAGCTGGGTCTCTGGCTCTTTAGGAGGTAGCTTCTTAGTCATTATCACTACCATCCAGTGATCTTGTAAGTGAATTGGTGCTACTGTACACATCTCAGAGTGCTATGTATGTAGATAAGTGTCCTGTCCTTGCTGTTGACATTGTAATCACCATAGATGGTAGCTGATTGTGTGTGGACCAAAAGGGCTAGAGTCTTCAGAAGGTGAAACTGGATATTTGAGAGTGTGAAGAATAATGGCGCCCAAAACCATCACACCAAGGCCAAGCTGTGGGAGGTAGTTTAAAAAGAAGAGCTTAGATATGGGAAGATTTTGACTGTGAAGAGATTTCTCCAAACAGAAGCTTAGTGACTGACAGGCTCAACAGTTAAGGCTTTGGTTCAATTCCCAGTTCTGACGATTATTGATTTTATAACCCTGTGCAAGTTCACTGGACTCTCATGTATCTCAGCTTTCTCATCTGTAAATTGGGGAAAATCATAGCTCTTGTCTCCCTCATAGAATTGCTGTGAAGACTGAAGGGAAAAAATATATGTAGTAAGCAAAACAATTTAGCACATTCCTGGCACATAGGAAATGCTCAATAAAGGAAGATATTATGGTATTACTGATATTATTATTTTGATATTGTGACATCAAACAAAAGATCCTGGAGTTAGAACAGACGGGACAGAACAGTTCAGGCGAGTGGGAGGCAGGGACCGCAGAGGCAGCGTGGTGGTGCCTGCTCCACGAGCCGTGGCTGGCTGTCCCCTCCCTGCTCAGGTCAGAGGGGCCTGCCGCAGTCCTACCTTGGGGACAGCTGTGGTGGCGATGACTCCATGACTACTCGACCTATCTCCTTGGTTGGCTCAGCTTCCCCAGTGGGGAGAGAACCTGTGCATCCAGGCGTGGTGGCTGTCCACAGGGAGATGTCACCCTCCTTCCTCAACTTGCTCTTAGCTAATTTGAATTGTCCCTCTTATCATTTTCCTAGAGAAATATCACCTCAGGGGATTTGACTGGCAGGAAAAAAGCTAGGAAGGGAATGCCTGAGGAAAAGGGGAGTTTCTGGGAGAGGGAAGGTCATAGAGGAGGCACGGTGGGGATGTCCCAGGCAGACCAAATGCCTCTAAAATCCCCAGTTATTACTGTACTGTCAAGCCGGTCCCTACCCCCACCCTTAACCAAAATTCCACTTTTTTCTATCCCTGGCATCACTGTCCTCCTAGTCATCTGGCAGTACAACTTGGAGCTCTTTAGTGACTCTGTTACAACCCTCTTGCCACTCAATCAGTGTCCAGGACTTTATTTTCATCCATAAATTTTTCTTTCTATGTTCTTCCCTCCCCTCTGCCAGCCCCCTAGGCTGGGCCCCCCCCCACTCAGTCCTGCAACACCAAGCTTACCACACTGCCTCTTGTCTCTTATCCATCCATCCAGCTGCCCAGTGGCACGCCAGCTCCTCCTAGTAGCATCCTGTCCCATCCTTCCTCCAAGGACTTACTTTCCCCAATGCCTCATTTTCTAACGCATGAAGTTCCGACTTTTCCATGGCTTTCCTTCCATGCCCAGCCTGGCCCGGCAAGCACACCATGGCCCCAGCACAGTGCTGATGTCATCCGGAAATACTGCCAGGGTACCCTAATGAATCCGATTTTCCCTGAGATGGGGACACAAGGGACACGAGAGGTGAAACATCTTTTTCCAGGAATCTGTTCACTTTACTGAGACTACAGTGAGGGCTCGATATGGTGTGGGGAAGTGCGTTCCTGGCCTGGAATGCAGTTTGTACCTACTGACACCTATAATCCACCTTGGGTGGGCATGAAGGAAAAAGGGACATTGCACCTGCCACGAAATAGCTTTCCCTCAATAGGGAGATGTGAGCCCCCAGAGTGACAGACTGCAGGATGCAGGACGGAGGGCTCAGGAAAGCCTCGCTCTTTTGTGGAAGGTATGAGACCCTGTGGGGCAAGCATAGGCAAATATTACCTTCATTTTCCAGATGACAAAACTTGCTTACATGCCTGTGAGTTTAAGTGGCTTGTTTATTGTCACAGAGCTAATAATTAGCAGATTAGGGTCTCCTAGTTGAGTGATCTTTTTAATGCATGACTCTGCTCTCCACCAGCAGGGCTGTGAAACACCTACAGAAACGATTAAGCATGCTTGGGAACAGTGCGAGTGGGCACGGCTCTGGGCCTCCTGGGAAAGGTAGCACTTGACCTGGGCATCGAAGAATCCAAGAGATCACAATCAGAGAAGTGTTAAAGCAAAAAAAAAAAAAAAAAAAAAATGAAGACCAGGCCTGAAAATTTCCCAAGCAAACAAAACTGAAGGCCTTAAAAAAAGCCTTATTCTTGATTCAACCACAAACATAAGTGAAGCTTAACTTGGGTCATTGCTGATAAATGCTATGTTAGAAATAAAACTTAACCCTGGCCAATCATAAGCAGCCAACTCACATATAATTTATGTGACTGGGGACTTTTCAACAAGGAACCTAAAAAAAGGCAATTAGGTAACTGCAAATTGGTCAAGTAGTTTCTTATTTTGCTTCCATGTCGTCCCGATAAATACTTGCCCCTGACATTTTGTGATCGAAACACTAGACCTCTGTTGGTCTGGTATTTCCCCATCCGTGAATTGCTTCTTACTCAAAGCCTTTAAGATTTTATTGTGCCTCAGGGTTTTTTTTTTAATTTTTTTTTTTTTTACTGAAGAAAGGAGAGAAGGAAGAACAGTCCAGAAATAAAGGAACTTCGTGAGCAAAGTCACAGAGCAGGACGACAGGAGCAGCCAAGGGCAGGATTGCCTGCGGAGTGAAGCTCCCCTGAGAAGCCGAGATAAAGGAGGGGAGAGGCCTGGGTGTCCCCCCACTGATAAACAGGCTCCACCCAGAGGCGAGAGCCTGTCTGGGGACAGGGGGAGAGCAGCAGAAGTGCCCCTTCTCCAGGACCCAGGAACTGGGGTGGGGACAGGAGGGAGGCTGTTTTCTGGACCCCAGTCCTCTGAGCCAGCACCTGGAACAGAACCAGGAAGGACTCTGGAGCCAGAGGAAAGGACAGACAGATGGCAAGTCCTCTGGAGACACCACCTCCTTTTGGAATCTGAGGCCCAGGTTGGGGGTTGGGGGTGGCCCTGGGGGAAAGCCCTGCCCCCACTGGAGAGGAGGGAACAGAAAGGGGGAAGGAGCAGGGGAGAAGTGGCACTCCGGGAGAGGTCCGCACTGAAGCCCATCTGGGAACACAGCCCTGAGATACAAAACGAGTGTGTGAGCGCAGGGTGCGCTGTGACTGGCCTGATGAAACCGTCTTTGATGCAACCTCTTCCTGAACCGTCCTCTTCCTCCTTCCCCTCCACTCACTTCAGGAGGCCGAGGACAAAAGTGAGGAAGAGCCGAGGGGACCCAGCAGGGCCCCCCGAATGAGGACTTTCCAGAGCCAGGAGGTAAGTGACCTGGAATACCCGATGTTGTCACCCCCCAACTCCAACGCCTCACAGACACTCGCCCGTCCGTGACGACCTGCTTCATCTTTACCCAACACGGAGACATTCTGTGCTTCCTCATCTCCCGGGGGCTACACAGGGTTGGTTTAGGAAGAATCGGGAGAATTCTCTCCGGATAAAGGGATGACCTAGCACTAACCAACGCATTTTCCCTCCCCTCCCCTCTTCCCTCCTTCCTGCTCTCTCCACCCTGTCCATTTTGTGTTTGTCACCTCCTGGTTTGGCTCCTCCACAGAACTCTCCAGAAGAGAGGCTGCCCACAGAGCGGAGCGGGCTGTGGGCAATGGCCAGGCGGGCACTGATGACTGTCCTGCTCCTAAGCATGCTCCTTGCTGCTTCTGTGTTCCTGTTATACACCTTCCAGACCTGTGGCCCGAGTAAGACCCTGGGACCCCCACCCTAGTCACCGTCCCTGCTCCCCGGGCTCCTGAATCCACCCTGAGCCTCCGACCTCTTCCCACCTCAATCCCAGCCATTACCTCCTGCCAGTCTCTTGGTCCATCCTCCCCATCCCCTGCCTGGTCCCGGGGGTGCCCTGGCCTCTGCCTGTCCTTCCCAGCAAGCATCTCCCCCAGGCCCCTGTGAGACACCTGAGTGCTGGGAGCTCAGCGCTCTTTACCTGGCATCTGGGAACAGCAAAGTGGCCCCCTGCACCGACTTCTTCAGCTTCGCCTGCGGAAAGGCCAACGGGACCGTTGATTCTGTCCAGGTCCTTGCTGAGGAGAACAAGAGGCGACTTCGGGGAATACTGGGTGAGGAGAGCAGGGTGGAAGATTCCCAGGCATGGGATGCCTCTGAGCCCAGAATGAGCCCTGCAAGGCCGTGGGGCGACTGCCAGGCCTTGCCTCTCTCCCACTGTCCCTGTCCCCTCAGGTGCCCTCTCCCTGCTTCCGTCTCTCTTGGCCCTTCTCTCTCTCATCCCCATCCTCCTTCCTTTCCGTTTATCTGGGATTACTCCATTCTCTCCACGTTCCTCCTTTCAACAAGCTCCATCTTCTTTGTTGTTTCCCCCAAATTCTCAGTTTCTACCCTAGACTTGGTACCTTCCTCCACAGTATCCCCTCAACACCCCTGCCCTTCAGCTCTTTCCCCTTCCACCCTGCTGTCAAGTTTCAGACCCTCTGGTCTCCCAGCGCCTCTTTGTCCACTTGGGGCCACACCCCAGCTCTCCGCTCCCACGGGGCCTCTTGCTTCTCCAGTGGAACCAAGGTGGTGCCAGCAAGCTGAAGTAGAGCCGGTGGGAGGGCAGGGAGGGATGGCTGGAGATGGTGGAGGAAGGGAAGAGGCAGGGCGGTGGGGTGAGAAGCCAGAGGGCTGCACCACCGGTGGTGTGTGCAAAGGCCTGAGATGTGGAAGACGTCTGGAAGGCAGATGGAGCCTGTGAAGGAGAGAAACAGCCACCAGGACTGAGGAAGACCAGGAGGAGGAATTGAGGCTGTGTAGGAGGTTGGACGTGGGTCCCAGGAAGCTGGCGGATGGTGCTGATAATTGGGGAACAAGAATACATGGGACAGGCACGCACTTCCAGTTCTCCAACACTGGGGATGTGTTGATGGCATCATTTGGAATCTGGGAGAAATGAATGTAGCCCTCTGCTTTCCTTTTCTGAAGGGGAAAGAGTGGGAGGTTGACTCTCTCTTGGTAGAGGGATATTTTTGGTGAAGATACAGAGATGAAAAGGAAGAATATGCTCAGGAAAAAGTTCATTGTCCACAATGGAACAAAGAGATTTGGGGGGACTGAGGGGAAGCATTAGATACCAGAGGGTGGGTGATGCAGAGGGGTGTGCATCTGATTACGGTAACGTCTTTGTTTTCTGGGATCGATGGATGAGGAGTCTGGACGAGGGAGTCCTCACCTGTTTCTTCCCTTGCTAAACCTTTCCATATGAGTTTTCTTCTCTCCTATCCCTCTAAGTTCTCTAGTTTCCTGAATTTGTCTAATTTCTTTATTCATTTCTCTCCTGCCCTCCATTTCTACCCCTTTTCTACCCATATCCCACACATTCTTCTTCTTCCCCTTTCTTCCAAGTCTTTTCCTTCTTGTTTTATGTTCCACATTTCATTTATCTTCCTCATTGTCTTCTTCTCCCTCTCCCTGCTTTTATCCTTCCATCAAGTTGATCCATTCTGAATTGGGCAGTCCTCTCACCTTTCCCATTTCCCTCACCTCTGTTTCTCCTCTTCCTTCCATATCCTGTGGAGTCGTCCCTTCTTTCCTGTGCGCTCCCTGTCTCCCACGCTCCATGTTGTCACTAGACTGGTCTTCACTCCTTTAATTCTCCCATGCTTCCGTTCTAGAGGCCCAGGGCTCCTGGCACCCAGGTTCGGGGGAGGAGAAAGCCTTCCAATTCTATAATTCCTGCATGGACACACATGCCATTGAAGCCGCAGGGGCTGGTCCCCTCAGACAAGTTATTGAGGAGGTGAGAAAAGTTGGGATGTCAACTTTTCTGGATATATAACCTATAGGACCAAGGCATGCTCGGGGCCACCATTTTTTTCTAGAGAGTGGGTCTTCTTCCTAGGGATCCCCGAGTTCTAGGAGGGAGATGGAGCTAGAAATGGCAATGCCCTATGGAAGTACCAGGATCTTGGGTGAAGGCAGAGAAGGAATGATAGATGGGGAGCCCTGGAGAGTCAAGGGATTCAGGTCAGAGGTCAGGGGGTGGCAGCTGTCTGAGAAAGAGAAGATCAAGACAGAGGGGCAGGGGCTCATGGCTCCTATGCTTAGCCCTCCCCTCCTCTTCTTCCCAGGTTGGAGGCTGGCCCGTCTCCGGTAACTGGACTTCCTTAGACTTTAACCGAACTCTGACACTTCTCATGAGCCAGTATGGCCACTTCCCATTCTTCGAAGCCTACCTGGGACCTCATCCCTTCTCTCCACACACGCCAGTCATCCAGGTGAGGGGCACACTGGCAAAAGCACAGGTGGGCCTGGACCTGCCTCAACTCTAGCCTATCACCTCTTACAGGAAGGCTGCAGGTTGGGGAGACAGGACAAACATGTAATGTAGGGACAAGCCTTATCTTAAGGGAAAATTATTAATATGAGGGTCAAGAACCCTAGGTGAGGGTGGGAGGCGGAGCAGCAGGGCCAGTCCTGGGAAGACAGAAGTAATTCTGGTCTTCCTTCCTGCTGATCTGAATTAATGCCAGAGCCTCTTAACTAGTCTTCCTATCTCCAGCATTTCTCTCTTATTTACTCTTCATTTCTGCCAACTTTCTAAACCAAGAACTAACTATGCTGTGTTGTTTATATCTAAATGCCCCCAGGTCATCAGGATCTAGTCCCTAATGCTTAGCAAAGCATTGCAAGTACTTTGTGAGCCCACCCCGCACGTCTCCAGCCTTATCTCCTGCATGTCCCTCTTCCCCTGACACCCTGAGCCATGCTGACTCACTGGGAGCTCCAAGAATATTCCTCTGTTCTTTGCATACGCTGCGCCTGTTGCCTGCAACCATCCCCCGCGCTCAGCCAGGAAGACTCTTCTATATTTTTCAAATGTTGGCTTTGGTTATTATCTCTTCCAGGAAGTCTTCGTTGACATCCTAGCTATGAGTTAGGTGAAGGCCTCCTCTCCTCCCTCCCGTTTCCTCCTGCTCTCCACATTTAGCACTCTGTACTGAAGACTGTGAGCCTCCTCAGCCCAGGACCATACTTATTCACCGTTGTTCCTCAGGACCTAGCGCAGGCCCAGGCAGCTAGGGGCCCACGCCAGGTATTTGTTGAGTGAACAACTATTAATAAATAAGAACATTGGTGCCGTCACTGTTGTGGCACGCGATGTAATGCTGTCTATATATTTTGCCCCTACTCTCAAAAATCCCACAAAATTATAAGAGCATGAATATACAAGAAGGACTGGCCATCAGTATGAGGTATTATAAAATTCGGTTCTAAAAAAGTGTGCTCAGGAGTTTAGCTGGTGTGGCTTGGAGGGGTCAGTTAAGATCTGAAGCAGCTAAGGAAAGGCTGAGCGAGGGCAGAGTGTGAGCTGAGCCTGCGAGCACGGCTGGCTCACGCGGGGGGGGGGGGGCAGAGGTGGAGCTGCCCTCGTTAAAGGGGCTGTAGGGAAATCCTGCACTCAGGGACGGACCTGCGATGGTGTGACTGCTCCGTGGCGTCGGGGAGGAGACAAGTCTGTTTAACTGAGGACTTGTGGGTGGGGGAGGGTGAAGTAAGGCTGATGACATGAGGTTGGGCCTGGTTATTTCTGGCCTAAGAAGACAAACAGAGGAGATAACTTTTGACATTAATAGAAAAGAAAGAAAAAAAAAAAACAAAAAACGGCCACTGAGGCCATTCACATATTATGGTAGTTGTGCATGGAGCTCATGGGGAGTTAGCAGGTCAGCCTGGAGGTGCTGAGGGATCTAAATGAGCACCCGGAGGTCCTGCAGTAGGGGTAGAAGTGGGAAGGAAGAACAGGCATGGGATTTAGGCAGCTTCGCCCTAGTGGTGTTTCTAGAGGACTTTGTGACTGATGGAATATAAATAAAGGGAATGGAGGAATCCCAAAATGATTTGATGGGAGCGGGAGGAGGGTGGCTACTCTCCATCAGATTGTGCTTGGATGGACTCTCAGGGGAAGAACAGATGGAAAGGATGGACAGGGCAGGAGCACCCCAAGGAGGAGCCGGGGGCAGAGGGAGAGAGAGAGAGAGTAGGAACACGCAGAGAGGTGGGAGCTGGCCCAGCAAGGACAGGCCATAGAGGAAAGGGGAGGAGCGCCAGGAAGGAGGGGTAATCTTGGACTCCAGAGATTTCCAAACTCAGGGAATGAGGAATGAGATAGTTTCCCAACAGTTATGGAAATGGACACAGACTGCATGGAATGAGATAAGGAAGCTGAAACAATGAGCATGGATGCCTTTTTGTTCCCTAAATTTTGGGCACAAAATGTGACAAAAGGGTCAAGTGAAAGTTTTTTGAGGATGGGGGCAAAGTATGTAGCTCGAGGTGGGAGTGGAATATTGAAATTGGAGAAGGTAAAAGACAGCGTGGAAGCAAAGATCTTCAGAACAGAATCACGGGCTGAGCAGGGCCAGAGCTCAGGTGAGGTGTGTGCGGCATTTCAAGAAGGACCTTAAGCGGGTCCCCAAAACTCAGTGTCAAGAGAAATAATATTTTAATGAATATCCCTAAAAAATCAAAAGCAATGCAAAAATCCATGATATATAAAATATCAAATTTTGTTCATCATGGATTTTTTCTTTTGAAAAAGGTCATACTTGTTTTTTTTCAAAATGTGACAAAACTCTATTGTAAACCTTTGTTAAACACTTAACGATTTTTTCCAAAATGAATCAGAAATACACTGAGGACTTTCTTGAACATATCCATTAGAAATATGGGTTGATTTGGGGGGGGGGAACGTCCATGATAAGCAAGGTTTTGAGATCTTATTTTATCATAGATTCTTTTGTATTAATTTTTAAATATTATTTATTTTTTAAATATTAATCAAAATATTATCTTGATTACTGAGTTTGGGGTACCTCTTAAATTTTGCACCTGAGGTAGGTGCCTTTCCTCCCTTGTCCTAGCCCTGGCCCTGGTACTAGGGGTGGGTCCCTTTGGGACGCCAGTTATAATGCTTCTCTCCTGCTAAGCATCCCCAAGCTTAGTACTCACTGTCCCGTCACATTTGCATGTCTGGACTCTCACTCCTTCTCATCCCGTGGCCATCTTCCACGGAACACTCCCAGCTCCCACACTGCCCTCTCTGCCCCCCATGCTCCCCACCTCTCTCTAGCCTCTCTTGTGTCCAGATAGACCAGCCAGAGTTTGACGTTCCCCTCAAGCAAGATCAGGAACAGAAGGTCTCTGCCCAGGTAAGGTGGTGCGTGGACGAAGGCCCTGCCCTCTGAGGCCAGGAGGAAGGCAGGAGCCTCCAGAACCCGTGACCGAGGTTGCCCTTCCCCAGATCTTTCGGGAGTACCTGGCTTACCTGAACCAGCTGGGAATCTTGCTGGGCGGGGCCCCGGAAAAGGTGCAACAACATGCCTCCTTGTCCATCTCCATCACCTCACGGCTGTCCCGGTTTCTGAGGCCCCTGGAGCTGCGGCAGGTCCAGGGCAAACCCTTCCAGATGGTCACTGTTGACCAACTCCAGGTGCCTTGAATGGGGGATGGGAGGATTGTGGGCACAAGGGTCTCCAGCCCAGGCTTCTCTTACCTCCTGTTCTCCTTCCTCCTAGTGCCTTAACGCCTAACTCCTTCCACCCCTGACTCTCTAGGGCCCCAGCCCCTTCTCCAGCCAGCCCCTCCCTCTCTTTCTTTCAAGCCCAAGGGGAAGCCCTTTCCCCTTCCTTCTCTCCTCTTTTCCTCTTCCCCCTCAGCTTTGTGTCCCTCCTCTAAGGAAAAGGCCCCTGCCATCGACTGGTTGTCCTGCTTGCAAGCGACATTCACACCGATGCCCCTGAGCCCCTCCCAGCCCCTCATGGTCCACGACCTGGAGTATTTGGAAGACATGTCGCAACTGGTGGAAGAGCTGGTGTTGACGCACAGGTTTGCCCTGGGTGGGACTGGGGAGGCCATTGAAATGGAAGGACAGTTGGAGGACCCGTAGGACTCAGGGACCCAGGAGACCTTGGGGAACGCAGGCTGGTAAGGGCCTCCCAGGGAGATGAGAGGGCCCCGCTCTCTGTGGGCCAGGGAGGGGTGGGGCGGGAGAGGGGAGAGGACGGGGGAGATGAGAAGGATTTGAGCCGGGGAGCACACACACCAAGTGAAGGGCCCAGGGTCAGCCAAGACACAAGGGCTGCTGGGCACAGCAGCCTGTGGAAAGCCTCTGAACTGCAGAATATGCTGGAAGGTCAGATATGGGCATCTGAGGGCGTTTGCGTCTCTTCAGCTGCTGATGGCTGCAGGCAGGAGGAGCAGGCCCGTGAAATGAGGAGATGGAGGTGGTGAAGGCTGGGGCTGCTCCCAGGGAAGAAAGATGGGGGTGGGGGCATTTCTCAGCTGTGGGGAGAGGACCCTGGAGCCCTTGCTGGAAAGAATATCTAAGACCAGTTTGCTGGGATCAGGAAGTCACAGAGAGTGGGGCACATGAGTGTGAGGTTCTACACTGGACTCCCCGCCTCCTGGGATACTGTGTGGCCACCACCCGAAGGTAGCGGCTCCTCCCACGGGCTTGGGCATCAGTGGCAGCAGCACCTTGAAATTTTTTTGAGGGAGGCAGACAACCATGCATGGGGAGTGAGAAGGTTTACATGAGGGTCCGGTGCAGGTCTGGTAAGGAAATGGCCAGAGAGACACAGAGGAGTCACTGAGCCCAGCTGTGCAGTGCTTAAGAGATGTGTGTGCGGATGAGCTGAGATTTCTTGGTCGTGGAGGTAGATGGATCTGTTTCATTACATCTGAGCCCAGCCTTCGTCCAGCCAGGGCCTTCTTTCCCTATGGCCTTGAAAGTTGCCTCTTTATCTAGTTCCTTCTTCTGTCATTCCCCTCCCCCTCCCCCAACCTATTGCAAGAAAAGCTCTTCTCAACTTGCTTGTCCAGACAGTTATTCTTTATAAATACAGAGGAGAAGGACCTGCCTTGGGGACTATGAGGGTGACTTGCACAAGATGGCTTTTCTTGGGGCATCCATGGAACCCTTATGTGGGTCTCTTTTGTCTCCATAGGGACTTTCTGCAGAGCTACATGATCTTGGGGCTGGTGGGGACACTTTCTCCAGCCCTGGACAGTAAATTCCAGGATGCACGCAGAGAGCTGAGGCAGAAACTTCGAGAGCTGACAGAGCAACCACCTGTGGTGAGGAGCGGAGTGGGTGTATTTTTCCAAGTTGGGGGCTAGAAGAGTATCTTCTCCTTTGAGGAGTGAATGGCGGCGTGTCTCTATCAGGGAGAGGGATGTGATGGTAGATGCTCTCCGTAGAAGCAGGCAGGCTGGACGGATGAGGCTTCACTTGAGAACCAAGGTACCATTTGCCAGACCCTCAGGAAGCTTGGCCACCTCTCTGGCCTCTTGCTGAGTATTAGAGTTTAATTATAAAACTCTGAAGTTATCAAGAACTGCTCTTCCTTTGCCATGAGCCTTACACTATTTTTTGTTACCCTGAGCTCTGTGACTTGAGGACCTGGACCTAGAAGGTTGGCATTTTCTGAGATGAGAGTCACATGTGGCCTTCTCTCTGTCTTGGCAATTCCATGTTTTATACTAAAAGATGCTTTACGAAGAGTTCATCCCTGACATCCAGGGGAGTCTGTTGGGCCATACATGGGCTTCTTGGTGCAGACTCTGATATATCTGTTCAGGGTGTTGGGTAGTAAATGCACTTCATTACCCAGAGTCTACTTATAACATAAGATGCAGAGATGCTTCTTCACTGAGAACTTTCAAATCCTAAGTCAGATCTCCAAATATAAGTACAAGTGTCTAGTACATTGGATACAACTTCAGTGAAGGCCTCAATTGAAACTTGAAAATCACTGGGTTTTCTTAGTAATTTGTGGACCGTTTCTCTGCCTTGGAGAAATTGTCTGCTTTGGCAACCTGAAATGTCTGTGGAATTCAGAGAAGAAAAAGAGTATTCACAGGGAGTGAAATGTAGTTACTGCTTATTGAGAGCTTATAATGTGCTAGACACTTCTTAAGTCCTTTAGATCTATTAGCTGCTTTAATCCTCACAATTCCTTGAGGTACCATGGATACCATTTTTTTCCCTGTTTTAAAGATGGGGAAACCCAGGCACAAAGATTAAGGAGCTTACTCAAGGTACTATAGCTAGTAAATTGGCAGATGGAGGATTTGAACTCTGGTTGTAGGGTCTGTTGTGCTTGTTCATTGTACCTAAAAGCACTCCTCCTTAGAGCTCTCACCTCAAGTGCCAGGAAGCTTCTGCCCAACTTTTCTCATGTTTCAGATGAGGCAGAACAGAGCCCCGAGTTCTCTTGGTTGGGTTGCTACGAAATCACTGGTGAAAAACAGCTTCCTGTAAATCCCAGCCCCATGGCCCAATGGCACTTCTTGGAGGGTGTAAGACTGAAAATGTTGGGTCTTACCTGAAGAGTGCATAATAGAAGGCTTACGCATCCTGAAATCCTTCTCTTTTTCATTAGCTACATAATTGACCCTGGGCTTAAAAGCTGAGTCAAGCTCTGTCAGCAAACAGTTACATTGTTGAGAAGCCACTTTACCTTTCTGGAACAACAGTATAAAATATGACACAGAGCAATAATGATAACAGCTGACACACACGGTCTGTCAGCAGTTAGCATAGATTATTTTTTTTTAATCTTCCAGAAACACTTGAAGATTTCTAATCCCCATTTCACAGGTGCAAAAATAGGCTCACAAAGGCCAAGGCACATAATTAAAGGAATAGACTTGAAAACAGATCTGTTTGGTTCATGAAGTTGTGTTTTTTTAACCACACCCTGTGCAGGATTGAGAAATAAGTGGCTGCTACAAATCAGGGATTAGTAAACCTTTGTGTAAGGGCCATGGAAGTAAATGTTTGTGGCTTTGTGGTGTGTGTGGTGTGTGCCACAGTCACTCAAGTAGGTCTTCGTAGCACAGAAGCAGCAATGAATGGGCATGGCGTGTTCCTAGAGAGCTTGGGTTTGAGCAACAGAGACTGCTGGGCTTCCCCAGAGGGAGAGATCAGGGAGCGTTTGAATGATCAGTGGAATCTCTGCGCAGGAGGTGGAACTGAGGAAACGTCTAGAGAGAGGAAGGCGTTCTCTGACACCTCATTGGGATGGGCCATGAGGCAGTCCGGCTAAAACTTGGTGCAGTATGAGGGCCTTCCTGGTGGCTCTAGCCGAAGAGAGATGAGCAGGCTTGCAGGGCAGGCCATGCCCACTGCTGCCACTGGAGTGTCCCCCCTTCCACCCCCACCAAGTGTTTGATGATCAGCAAGGAGGCCGGGGCACCGGGAGCAGAGTGGATGGGATAATAGTGGGGAGGACACCAGAGCAGGAAGGAGAGGACCACACGGAGTCTGGTAGGTCACTAGGGACTTGTGCAGTTCTCTGCAGGAAATGGGGACGTGCAGAGGGATTTACCTATTTTATGTTTTTAAAAGAACATGTTACAAAGTTAGCAGTGGGCCCCCCCTGACTGCTGTATGATGTGTGGGGAGGTGTGGGGTCAAGGACACTACCAAGGTTCTCGCCTTGATTTGATCACACTCTGTGGTTCTTTCCAATGGTCACGAAGTACAGACAGCTGACCATATTCTCCTGAATGAGTTCTAAAATTATATCCTTTTCTTAAAAAGACTGCTCAGCCTCATTATCTGACCATCTTTGGTTGGTTGGTTTTGAATATAGATATAGTCACTGAAAAGGCCTTTCTCTTAGGAAACTTGGGAAGCTGGGTTTGGGGAAGTAAAAGAAGAACTTCACATTTGTGCTGATTAAATGTGAACTATTTATATTCAGCCCAACATCCCAATTTATTCAAGTCACTGTAACCTCTTTTTTAGTCACTAGGCCATGCTTGGGTCATTTGCAGTTTTGTCCAGTGGATCTTGGCGCAGACTACTGATAAGATCCTGAAGGGGGAAGGGCAGTGGGATCAGGTTATTGAAGACTTAGCTATAAATTTATCCATTCATTTAGCAACAAGTGTTTATGGAGCACCCCCTATATTCTAGATACTTCTCTAGGCACTTGGGATACAGTAGCAAACAACATAGACAAATATCTCTGCCTCAGACATACGTTTTAGTGAAGGAAGAAAGACAATAAACAAACTAAATAAAATATGTTAGGTAGTGTTATGAAGGAAAGCACAATGGCAGATGAGGAGCAGGAATGCTAGGTGAAGAGGGGTACAGTTCCCAGTAGGGAGGGCGGGCAGGCCACATGAACTTGGAGTCGTTCATCAGAGATGTTTAGTCATGGTGCAGCCAAATGAGAGTCCACTTAAATCATGCTGTCATTCAACATTGATTTCTCCTTCAAATTCACGAGGACTTAATAGATACCAAATATTTAGAGTCCTTTCAGGGTATGATTTCACCTGATCCTCTCATCTGGGAGGAAGGTAGAACTGATAATATTTTCACTTTGACAGCTGGTATCGCTGAAGCACAGGGGTTTAAGTTCATAATCCAACTCTTAGTAAAAGTTGAGTACTCTGTTCTGTGCTTGTATGGTGGTGGCCTTTAAGGATGAATTTAGTCTATAGATGTGTTTTGTCAGTCTTTAGAGTCTTTTGCAAACTTTGAATTAATTAATCATCGACATTCAAAAATTAGGAGATGGCATGCCGGTCAGTGTTCAGATTTCCGGCCTCTGTGTGTGTGTTGTAGCTCAGGAAGAGCAGGGCCAGCCTCCTCCATGGCAGCCACTGACTGCCGCTCAATGGCATAAGCTCCGGGTTTGAGTTAGTGGCTCCTGGTCTATTGTGTACCCCAGTTTGATGAGCCTTTTAACCAGGGGAATGGTTATTATTTTGGTTTTATTTGTCTTCAGTGATCCCGCCATGGATGGCCCTTAGTAGTTACCCATTATTTTCCAAGTGTTTAAAAACCGTCCATTTAATGATTCATTCTAGAAAATTTGTTTAAAAATTAACATTAAAGATCTCGAAAATCTACTTTCACCCTGTGGAAAATTGGTCACATTCTTGCTTCCTTCTGGACTCTTAGAATTTTTCCTGGTATTTGTCATTTCTCAAACATTTTTATTCCTAGTTCTGAGGTTATATTTGCAGCTTTTTTTTTTTTTTTTTTTTTTTTTTTGGTGCCCTAAAATTAATCCACTGAACTTCATTATCTTGGGTTTGAAGTATTTCTTCCATCCTTCCTATTTTGGAGGTTTTTGTTCCCCTCTAATTCTGTTTCTTTCTCTCTCATTTTAGTGCTCTCTTTCCAATCAATGTGGTAGACTCTATCCTTCCACATCTTGAGAGAGAGCTGAGGTGGCCTCTGTATTCTCCGGTAGTTAGGTCCCCGGGCAGAGGATGTTGGAGGAATGGTCGGGCCCCAGAGGAGGAGAACAGGAAAGGACTCAGGAGGCAGAGGTGTGAAGAGGGCAGGCCCATCCACCCTACAAACTCACGGCTTGTTGGGCTCTCCCCACCCCTGTTGCAGCTGCCCCAGGCATGGCCACCATTACTGACAGGCAGTCCCAGAGCCAAGCTTGTCGGGAGGGAGGAGGACACTGACTGACAGAGGCCGGCAGAGACCCTGCTTGACCCGGTGGCTGCTATCAGACCCAGATTTCCTCCCACTTCCTGTTTGGGGTTCCCATTTGTGGGCCCCAGAGCTCCAACTAATACACCACGGAGAGAGTCTGAGCCCCTTCTCATGTGAGAAGAGCCTAGCAGGCCTCACGGTGTGGGCCCTAGAACACACAAATGTGGATGCTCGGGTCCAGGGCAACCTCCCACGCGATACACTCTGTAAACGGTGGGCCCAGGAGTCCCTTCCTCAGCGACCACCAGCCTGGCCTCCAGTTTCTGTTCCTCCAGCGGGTGCCCGCGCCCTCCCTGCCCGACCGTAGACCCGCCCAGCTCGCGCTGAGGCACAGGGGCAGATCTGGGGCTGTAAATGAACGACAGGAACGAAGTCTTGTGCCTCCGTTCTGCCTGGCCCACTGCAGCGTGTTATCTGGTTTCCATCAGCCTCCTCAGGGCAGCTGCCTGCTCCCGCCCCCGGTCTCTGGCCTGGCCCCTTGGCCAGCTCTTCAAGGCCACGCAAGACTTTCCCCACACCTGTCTCTTCTGTTTCTTCTCCTCTGGGTCCTGGCACCTCCGTTGCCGCTGCCCTCTGCCCCCTGTGTTTGCCTCCACGCCCCTGCGGTGAAAGCCCCCAGCTTCTCGTCCTGTCCCCTCCCTGAGTTTGGCTGAAAGATTTCTTCCAGTTCTCCGAATTCACACGCTGAGTCCCTTGCCTTCTGTCCTCTCCTCCTAGCAAACAACGTGGCATCTAAAACCCAGTTTTACTGACAATTTCCTTCGTTACGAGACCCTACAGTAGGATGCCCGGACTCGCACTTGGAGGGTGGGTGAGGCTCACAGCAGGGGACAGAGTCACCGTTTCCATCTTCCGTGTTGGGCAAAGAGGCGTGGGAGGGTGGGCGTCACTGCCGGGACGGGGAGCGGAGTGCGCGGCGGCAGGACGGGCGCACCTGCCGGGGTAAGAGGTCTGGCTTCCCGTCCTCGCCCTGCCGGGAGCCTTTTGGGCCCCTCCAGCACGACGCCTCCCCGAGGCCTTGCTGTCACACTGAGGAGGCATAGGCATGGAGGAGTTAGGTGCTCAGCCAGCTCCCGAGACTAACCCTGGAGGGGACGGAGGCCCTCTTGCTGAGAAGCACCATGTGTCACCCAGAGGGATAATTAATTGAGATAGAATTAATCGATCCAGAGAGTCCAGCGGATAGAGCACCTCTGGGGAGGAAGACCTGGAGAAGACTGGCCTGGGCAGGCAGGAGAGGAGAGCGCCCCGGACAGAAGCCACTCACTGCAGCTCTGTCTCCGTAGCCTGCCCCGCCTCGATGGATGCAGTGCGTGGAGGAGACAGGCGCCTTCTTCGAGCCCACACTGGCGGCCTCATATGTTCGGGAGGCCTTTGACCAGAGGACCCGAAGTGCTGTATGTAAGGGTTCCCCCAGCCCGTGTCCCGCCACCCCTTCCCGCCCAGTCTCCCTCCCTGGTTCTCTGGACTCTGCCCTTCTCAGTGGTCTGTGTGGCTGGGGACCCTGGCAGTCCCAGGCAGAGAGTCCACTGAGCGCGGGAACCTGAAGGACCGCTCCAGCCCCGGGGTGAGCACTAGGTCTCCCCAGCACGCACTAGCTCGGACGAGTCACCCGGCTCTCCTGGTCTTGTGCCGCTTCAACCGTAAAATGAGAAAATCGAACTCTGTGACCTCTCAGGCTCCTCCCTGCTTACCTAAGATGTTTTTTTTTAACAACACATGAACTGACATGAGATTGGGATGACATCATCTTGAGGAGGGCAAATAAGTAACTACTAAATACTCTAAGTGCCTATACCACCTGCCTGGGACTTTAGTAAGCACTTTGCATGAATGACTTTAATTCCTAATATCATGCTAATTTTATAGAAGAGAGAACCGAGGCATAGAGAGGTCGAGTGACTTGGCCAAGGTCACACGGCTGTCAAATAGCAGAGTTAGGATTTGAACTCAGGCGGTCTGACGCCAGAGCCGAGTCTCCTGATGTTGTCGTCCATCTTCCTCGGCAATGAGAATAAGGAAGGGCGTTTATAGGCCAGGTGGTAGCAGCTGGACAAGCAGTGACTACACACTCCAGTTGGGACGCTCGAGAGCTCAGGAAGAGGGGGAGAGAGTGAATGTCTTAAGAAGGTGTGAGGTCAAGGCCCACAAAGGCAGAGGAGGGAGTGACAGCCCTCTTTCTCTCTTCCCTCTGCCTTCTCAGTGGCTTGCCTGGCTCCAAGAGTGAGGAAGGTGTCTCCCTCCCCCGTCAGGCTGAGATTGTCCCATGGAAAGGACTTGCCTCCCTGGTCGACCCTCAGGGGTGGCCGGCTCGCACCTTCCCTCCCTGTGCTTGGCACTGCCTTTCCCGCTCTGCAGGTCTTCGCACCCCGGAGGGCTGTGGTCACCTGGGAGGTGTCCTTTCCTGGCTGTCTTTCTCTGACAGGCAGCCCAGGCAGCTCCTGGGGGCCAAGGCCTCTTCCCAGGGTCTGGCGTGCAGGCAGGGCAGGCTGAGGTCCTGAGCCTGTTCCCCTGTCCCCGACCTCACTCCCACAGGCCATGGAATTATTCACAGCCGTCAGGGACGCCCTGGTCACTCGCCTCAGAAGGCTTCCCTGGATGAATAAGGAGACCCGGGAGGAGGCCGAGGACAAGGTCAGGCCGGGTGTAAGGGCCAGTGCGGGAGCGGTGGGGGGTGGTTAGGGTAGTGGACCAAGCCAGGTGGGGACTGGAGGAGAGCGCCAGAAGCCAAGGGCACATGCCAAGCGTAAAAGCCAGTGTGCTACACATGCAGCCTGGAGACAGCAAGGAAGGCCGGGCAGGGCGGCCAGCAGGATGACGTGCTTCCAGCGGACTGGGCACAGCTGGGCTCCTGCCACCCTTTGTGTCTCTCTCCAGGTCGCCCAACTGCGGGTGGAGATGGGGGCCCCCGAATGGGTCCTGAAGCCAGAGCTGGCCAGACAAGAGTACAGCGATGTGGGTCCCCGAGCTTCCCATCTTGTCTCAGTCCTTGCCTTCTTTCTGCTCACTTCACCAGCCCTCCTGAGCATCTGCCGGACGGTCGGTTCCCCCCAGGGGTTCTAACCAGCCCCTTCCTTGCCCTGGTGCCGGCCGGGCTTTCTGGGGGAATGTCCACACTGTGCGTGTCTTGCTGGCAAAAGAATGGAACCTTGTCAGGTCACGATGCGTGTGCACACATGCCTGCGTGCACCCTGTGACTTGCCTGAGTGTGTCTATCTGTGTGGACACGTGTAAAGCCCATCTGCCCCGACACGTGCTGGTGCCACTGGGCTGGCCTCTGCTGATCTGTGGGTGCCCGGGTGTCAGGGCTCGCCTGTTTGCGTTCGAATGCTTCCGCCAGCATAGGCCGGTGTGCGTCTCTGTTTGTCCCTGTGTACTCAAGTCACCTCCGGCCTCCTCCGCAGATACAGCTTGGACCCAGCTTCCTGCACTCTGTCCTGAGCTGTGTCCGATCCCTTCAAGCTAGAATTGTCCGGAGCTTCTTGCAGCCTTTGCCCCGCCACAGGTGCGAGAGCAAGGGAGACACAGGCACCCCATCCCGGAGACACCCACCGCGACTAGGAGGAACGGACGCCAGGAACAGGGGCAGTAGCTGGGAAGGACGTGTGTGTGTGGGCGCCGGAGGGCAATACATGGTGGCGCTTGCATATGTGTGCTCTTTCCCCAGATGGAAAATGTCCCCCTGGGCTGTCAACGCTTACTACTCGATACCCGACCATGTGGTGGTCTTCCCGGCGGGACTCCTCCAGCCCCCGTTCTTCCACCCTGGCTACCCCAGGTACGGGAGATTCTATGAGGGCGGGCGGAGAGTCTCCCAAGAGGGATTGGCAGGTGTTATTTTCATATGATGGACTTGCGGTTGGAGGATTGAGTTGAAAAACGCTGAGGGCTTCTGAGGGTAAGACGAGCCCCTGTCTCCCAGAGCCGTGAACTTTGGCGCTGCTGGCAGCATCATGGCCCACGAGCTGTTGCACATCTTCTACAAGCTTTGTGAGTACCGGGGCCACCGGGAGGTGGGGCATGGGGAACCCAAGGGAAGGCCCCCAGGGAAGCCCCGGGGGAGAGGGAGGTAATTGGAGGCCTCTGGGTGGGACAGTCCTGGAAACTCTGCATTGCTCCTGGGAGCCAGGTCAGTCTGCGGCACCCCCACATCCGCACCCTACGAGCGCCACCTCTCACCTGTGCACCCTCTTGCCCGTCTTCAACAGTGCTCCCTGGGGGCTGCCCGGCCTGTGACACCGATGCCCTGCAGAGGGAGCTGCTGTGCCTGGAGCACCAGTATGCTGCCTTCCCGTCCCATGGCAGAAGCTCCTTCAATGGTTCCAGAACCCTCCTGGAGAACGCCGCGGACGTGGGCGGGCTGGCCATCGCACTGCAGGTAGCTCACACGCCAGGGGCTGCGTCTGTTTTCGCCAGCAGGCTGGACGCCCTGCCCGCAAGGTTTCCTTGCACTGTCTGTCACACGGAGTGGCATAGCTTCCTGCCCTCACGTCCCCGCCAAACAGATGGCAACTTGGGGACCCCCCTCCCACCCCATAAGTCCCCATTTCCTAGGCCGTCTATAGGTCTGCGGGCACGTACCCTTTCCTCTGGCCCAGACCAATGAGCCAGGCTGAATCGGCGGAGAAGGCCAAGGACTGGCTCTGGGTCCCCTGTGGAGGGCAGAGGACTTCCAGGTGGCCTCAGGTGTGGAGGCTGAGGGCCACTCTCCACTCCACCCCTGTCCAGGCATACAACCAGAGGCTGCTTATGCACTATGGGGAGACCACCCTGCCCGGCCTGGACCTCAGCCCCCAGCAGATCTTCTTCCGAAGCTACGCCCAGGTAGGCAGCGCCCGCCTCCCGCTGAGCTCGCCTCAGAGCCGGCACCGACCCTAACCCTGACGCCCGAACCTCCCCTCCCCGGCCTCCCTCCCACAGGCCCCAGCCCTCTGCCACAGACGTCCCCGCTGCCATCCTTCCTCACTCCCCCTCGGAGTCCTCCTTCGGATTATTACACGTTCCTCCACCACATTCAGCCCCCCACCCCCACTCAAAATGTAAACAAAACTCCACTCCCGGGTCTCTCCATGAGATGGGCCCAACTTTTTTCTTCTTTCATGGCCTCAAACTACAGATGCCTTAAAAGTGAGCCCTCCACAGGCTGACCATATACACGCTCCTCTTCAGAAACCCCAGCCCCAAGTGCAGTGCCAACCTGACATAACCCCTTAAGCACCCTGTGCTGCCTAGACGACCCAGCCCCCAATTCCTCGGCACCCCGAAGCCCTCCTCCCAGAGCTGCTCCACCAGGCCCCGCCTCCCGGTCACTGACAGACCCCTATGGCCAGATTAGATGACCCACAAATGGCGGATCCTTCAGGCGGCCCTCGAAGCACTTTATTCCCAGTCACCCCGTGTTACCAGATCAGCCTTGTCCTGTGCACCCCGCTCACGACCCGCTCTCCTCCCTCCTTGACCCCCTTCCCGCCCAGGCGACATGCAGAGGGCACAGCTCCCAGGACTCCCAGCGCACACACGGCCCTGGCCCCCTTCGAGTCCACGGGCCCCTCAGCAACACCCCAGCCTTTGCCAGATATTTCCGCTGTCCACATGGAGCCCTCCTGAACCCTTCCAGCCGCTGCCACCTCTGGTAACCGGGCTGCCAAAGAGACCACAGCACAGATGTGCCAGCGTCTCCCTGGCCCGATGCAGGGAATCAGGGCAATAGCTCCTCTCCCCTTCCGTTCCAAAAATAAAAGCTGGCGCTTGGCTTCTGCCTGTCTCTTAATGAGTCTTTCCTGCTAGGTTCTATGGCTAGAAGTCAGAAACGGTAATGGGGAAAAATGCCTAGAAGTCAGAAAAGATGAGGGGGGGGGGAATGCCAAAAATATCCCATGGACAAAAGAAAAAGGAAGAACCAAGGACTGGCAGGCGGGTGGGTCTGAAGGTTGGGCAGTCAAACAGCCCCGCCAGAGACAGAGGGCTTGGGTCTCAGAAAGCTGCAACAGATTGTTTTCAGGATTTTATTGCTGGTTTGTTATCTCTACCTCCTCCCTCTAATCTGCTGCCCTGAATAAAGCCAGGAGAGGTGTGGGAGAGAGAAGGAGCAGGTCTCTGTCTCCCAGCACCAGGAGGCAGGCAGGCAGTGGGGACAGCAGCTGACACGGCTGGAAGACGGGCAGGCGGCAGCGTGTGCGTGTCCTTTGGGGGCAGTGAGCGGAGGGAGGGTCAGTAGGTGATCAGATAGCGAAGGTAGCAATCCAGGTCCTCATCCAGGAGCCAGGCCACCACCTCGCCCTCAATGTCCCTCATAAAAAAATCACGACGCTGGCCAGACTGAAGCAGAAGGCTAGGTGAAAGATGTGGTCGAGGAGAGTTGCCGTCTCGGATGGCCTGTCCTCCTCTTGCTGGGCCATGTCCATCACCTGCCACGTCTCGCCCACCGAGGAGGCCACAAAGTGCTCTTCATACTGCTCTTGATTCTGGTCTGGAACACGGGAGAGGGGCAGGGACTGATGGCCTGCCCCTGCCCTGTCCCCGCCCTGACCCCGGCCTGAACCAGATAGGGAAGAAATTAGAGTAGGACAAAAAGCTGGGACCTCGGGTTCTTGGCCCAGTGGCCCACATCCCTGGCCTCGACCAGAAAGGTGACGCTCCTGCCAGAGGTCTTTTCTGGTCTGTGTGTCCAACCACAGCCCCACCTCAAAGGCACACACCCCATTCCTAAGGCTCGCTGCCTCCTCCAAAGCGTTCCACCATTCAGGGAGTCAGGCACCACCGTGAAGTGTGAAGGAAACTGAGGCCCTCTGCCCGGCACACCCCGGGCTCACACGCACAGAAGCCGTGCGCAGTGTCAGCCGGCCCGCGCTCTGCCTGACGCTGCCAGTTCGGGCTGTAACCGCAGAGGCAGCTCAGATCCCGCCTCGCCTTCCTGGTCGCCTGGGGCCTGACTTCAGACAGACCCAGCCCTCAGCCTCCACGCTCCCCCTCTTCTCTACCCACCTGGAGAAGGTGTTTCTTCTTTCTGGCTCGTCTCCTCCGGGCCTGGGCTCCCCCCATTCTGAAGCTTCAACCCGCTTGTCCGCAGCAGCAGCAGGATGGTGGCCAGGAGCGCTGCCCTGCAGAGCTGGGAGCCCGAGGCAGGCATGGGCCTGGCCCCCTCTGCCTGTGGCCCTCCCCACACCCCAGTGCCCAGCAGGCTCCCCCCACCTCCCGCCCCACCCCGCCCCAGCCCTTACCCCTTCCCGGCACTGTCTTCTCCTCTTCCCTCCCATGGGACCTCTGACTTCACGCGCTCTGTGACATCACAGCTGTGGGCCTGGCCGTTCCAGCTCACCCGAGTGTTCCATCGCCAGGCGAGAGAGTGGAGCGCAGCCAGCAGGGGTGGCAGGGGCTTCTGGAATGACTGCAGTGGGCCATCTTGTAGCCAGCAACAGACATGACTTAAGAGTTTGCAAAGCACAGTGAGATCCACTGCATCATTAGATGCACACGGCAACCAGGACTCCAAGTGACAGCATTCTCATACTTATTACATAGATGAGGAAACTGAAGTTCACAGAAAAAATATCTCTCCTGATCCCCCAAACACTAAGGGGAAGAACAGGACTCTTGGTTACCTCTTTTAATTCTAAACATGACGCCTTCCCACTGTGCCATGCTGCCTTTCTCTAAGGAGAACGATTTGTGTAGGGTAAGGTCCAGACCAGATGTAGAAGTCGGGACCCTGAGGTCCCGGGCGTGAGCTGCTGCTCCACATGTACCGTGGTCTGCCAAGGAGCGAGGACGAGGAGGGGCACAGGAGGGCCGGAAAGGGCAGGTGCTCTGTGTGTGTGCACCTATATGTGTGTGTGAAAGAGACAGACAGACAGACAGGGACAGAGACAGAGAGAGAGAGACAGAGACAGAGTGACAGAGTGCATAGAGAGAGAAGTGGAGACCATTCTCTCATCTCTCCTCATCCTCCCCTAGTCTTCCCTCCTTCCTAGCCTTTGTCCTCTTGTACCACCAGGCTGGAACACCCTCTTCTGTCATTTTACAGTTTCCTATCCTCTTAGATACAGAGAAAAAATTGTCAGAGGCTCATCCCTAAGCTCCTTGGTTAGTGGAAGGAGTCTCCATAATGCGTGTGGAAAAATCCTGCCTCAGTGCCCCAACGCCCCTCCTGCCCATGAGCCTGGCCAGCACAGGGCTGTTGGTGGTAACCGGGTGTCACTAATTACCACCATCTGGTTCTCAGAGCAGAGCTGGTTGGAGGGCTGGGGTTAGGGGAGGCAGAATGAAGGGCTTTTTTGGAAAGCCAGAGACAGACACCCAGGCCACAAGATACAGGACGAGGCTAGGAGAGTGCAGCACATGTGAACCATCACTCCCGGTCACGCCACTCCTGCTCGTCCATGCATATCAGCCCTGAAGGAAACATGCACGTGCGGGCGCAAGGACAAGTGCAGAGACGTGCACCCTCTCTGCAAGACAGGAAGTGCAGAAATGAAAACACGTGAAGAGATTCCGTTCCATGGAGGCCACCCATGCTGGCAGACGTGCCCACGTGGATACTCTCCTATGCATGGCAGACACCTCTTCTGCAGTTCCTGGCGATCCAAGCCAGGGGATGGGAGACTGGGGAGGGGTACGGGAGGTTGCTTGAAGGTGAAGGAAGAAAGATTCAAGTCCTCGGGTGACCCTGCTCACCCCTACCTTGCACCCACTGACCTGAGATCCAGACAACAATGCTTGCATGGAAAAAAAAATCACTAACCTCCTCCTGGCTATTTTGGGGGAGGAGCCTCTTGGTTCACTGGCAAAAAGAGCAGCCGCCTCCAGCTCTGTGGGTTTGGGTGGGGAGGGTGGCCAGGGGTGTGGGGCGTTGCCCGAGAGGCAGGCTGGAGTGGAAAGAACTGGGTGGCACTGACTACCACTGTTTCCATTTCCTCACCACCACCAGCCCGGCTCCAAAGAGATTCATCCTTGCAGGAAACCAGGAGTCCCTTAAACATTTTCTTCGTATTACGAAAGTATAAAATACAGAAGAGTATAGAATACAAAAAAGTACAAAAACAAAACAAAAGAAGCTAATCATTCCTTCATCTAAAGATAATCACCATCAAAGTTTTAAGGTGCAGTATCTGAATCCTTCTCCTAGATGGCTGTGGCCATGTGGGGTGAGAGTGTATTTCTTAAAAATTGAAATCCAGGTTTTCTCCTCCTCCTTATCACGTCAGAATAAGAGGTGGGGCTGCTTGGGCGCAAAGGGGCTCTGGGACCCGACAGTGCAGTGACAACCCAGTTCTCCTCCTGGGCACCCAGGAAGCATTGCAGACTCGCCCATCGTGGGGGGCGGTGGGAGGACTCTGCAGGTGTCCTTTCTGCAGGAAGCCGGGAGAGGACTGAGAGAAAAGACAGGGGGAAAAAGGAAGACTAGGATGGTGATGTCGAATGTCACAAAGAGGCAGGAGTGTGGGGAGGGACAGGCCAGGAGAGACTCCAAATCTCTGGCCCCCTGGCAGGGACAGGTGGGACACCTTGGTCTGTGCCCCTCCCTCTGGAGAGCGCGGTGAGGCGAGGAGGGCGAGCGAGAGGGTGAAGGCCTGGGGAGGGGGGCCTGGGCGTCCGGCCCCCCTCCTCCCTCCTGGACCCACAGACAATGCCCTTGGTGGCGAGTCCGGCACACCTGCTCTTTGCGGCTCTGACCGGGCCGGCCCCTTCCCACCCTTCCCCCTCCAGGACCGGCTTTATGGGCGGCTGTTTCCTTGGCAGGTGCTCCCTTCCTGGGCCTGCCCCGCTTATCGGTGCATCTACACCCCCACCCCAGCCTTATCGCTCCCTCCATCTCCTTAGACTGGAAGTCATTCTGCGCTGCCCTGACCCCCGGCGAGGCACAAAAATGCCCCACAAGTGGAACCCTCCCCTCTCCTGGGTGAGAACACGAGTCTCCCTTGGGCACCTCCTCTTTCTTATTTATTTTCCTTTCAAGTTTTGCCCTTCTCTAGAGGTTATTTAGTCCATCCCTCAATCTCTGGGGCAGAGCTCTGACCGCAAAAGAAGGGGGCAGTCCCTTGCCCGTGAAGACCCCCAAGTGGAGGGGCCCGGCATACCTCACTCCATTCTCTCACTTTATAGACAAAAGGTTCCCAGGAAGCAACAAGGTCTGGAGAGTGACCTGGAGCTGTGATCCCCCTTCAAAGCCAGTTCTGGCCTCGGTACTAGCTGTGCGGCTTGGGGCCATCATACCCCCTCTCTGTGCTGTCTTCTCATCCAGAAAGCAGAAAACCCCGCCCTGTTCCCATTTACCACGTAGGTCTATTGAGTGACTGCGATTCAATAGCATCGATTCCAAAACGATCAGGAAGCCAAGCGCAAGCCGCAAGCTGAGGTATAGAGTAGGCCCCCTCTTATCCTCGGGGGATACGGTCCAAGACACCAGAGGGTGCCAGAAACCGCAATAGTACCCAGCCCTATATATACTATGTTTTGTCCTTTATGAATATACTTGTGATAAAGTTTAATTTGTAAATTAGGCACAGTAAGAGATTAACAATAATGACAAAATGGAAAACTATAACAATATGCTATAAGTTCTGTGAATGTGGTCTCCTCTCTCTCTCCCTAAGCACCTTAAGTGTACTGTAGTCACCTGTTTTCGAGCTGTGGCTGACCTCAGGTATCTGACATCTTGGACAGTGAAACCGTGGATTCAGGGGACCAGTTTATGAAATGACACATCACTGTCTTATCTTTACACACTCCTCAGATAAATCCTTACACACGTCTCATTTCTGGAAAGAGCCCCAAACGTGGAACCAAGATATCTTTGTCCTCTGCCTTTGCTCTGCTCCTGCTGTTCAACCTCCACAGAAACACGGGCCCTGGGGATCCTCTGAGCTGCACCCCGGTGTGTGAGAGCCAGCTCAGCTCTGCAGGCTCAGGGACAGAGGTGACCAGGAGACCAGGGTGCACGGGAAGCTCTGAGAAGCAGCCTGTGGGGCCTCATGAGCCCACTCGTGGAGGAGGGATGTGCAGGGCGTGAGCGCTGTGATACCTGCTTTCCGGATACTCCCATGAGACAGTGTGATCGTTACCCCGAGTTTGCAGGTTAGGAGACTGAGGCTGAGAAAGCTCACTTAACTGTTCGTAAGAAGTAAGAGCCAGGATTTAAACGAGGATCTGCCTGATTTCAGAGCTGGAGTCCTTCATGTCCTGCTGTCCCACACCTGACTATGTGCCTTGTTTGTAGACCCAGCCTCCAGGCTCTGTCCGGATCCCTTTTTAAATTCCTCTGCCCCACCCTCGGCCTCTCCCAGTCTCAACCGCCCCAGCCCACTGCAAGGAACCCTCCCTGCCTTCTCTTAGGCAGCTCTTTCACCAGGGCTCCAGCTCTATAAAGTGCTCCTTTCCTTCCAGGGAAAGCACCTCTCCCCGGGCAGGGCGGCGGGTCCCTCAGCGTGTGCTCACACACACACCCCTCTGCGGCCACACGCCGCACGCTGCATTCACAAGTCACGTGGGAGACACACTCATTCAGAGTCCCAACCCCAAATAGACCCCACCTCCTCCCTAGTCGCTGCCATCCGAGACCTGTTCCTTTCATCACATTCCTTAACCCGCCGGCGCCTGCGAGGAGGAGACATGGGGGCTTGCCCACCCAAGGCAAAAGGGCCCTGGCTCCAACCCCAGACACCTCTGCTCTCCTGGCTGTTCAGAGAACAAGACTGGGACCAGCACCTGGACCAGGCTTACATGCTGCAACAGAAGAGGTAGGATGCCCACGGCCACCGGTGTCCCCATCACCCTGGTCCTCAAGCCCTCCGATGCATGTGTGTCGTTTTCCCAATAGGCAGCCTAGAGTTCAGTGCCAGTTGCGCGGATGTGCCCTCCCCTGCCAGCCCACCCACTGCAGAACCCCAGCCGGCCCCTCTCAGTAGTGGAGGCAGGTGGCTTCGAGCCACATGGAGAGACCTTGAGTGGAGACACGCTTCACAACCCCAGGGCAGCCAAGGCTCTAACCCACCCGCCTTGTGGAAGGGGGAGTGAGGGGGCCAAACGGGACCAGAGGAAGAAGCCGGGTGTGTGGGGTGGGGTGCAGGCCAGGGCAGACTGCTGGGGGAAGATGTGATCCCACCCTATGCGTGGTGGAAGAAAGAGGCACTGCCATAAGTTTGAATGAAAGCCGATTTTGTGGGAAAGGAGGAGGTTTGTTCCTGACGCCTGGAGCCAACCAGCTGAGCGGGGCAGCCCGGGTGACACTGGAGGTTCCCGAGTTCGCTTCATCTACCTTTTGTAGAGCCTGGAGTCTGCTGTGTGTGGCGGGGCGCCGGGTCCTGAGGACACACAGGACGAATGAGGCTGGCACACCTGGGGGTGGACCATTTCGTGGCTGAGCCCCGAGGTGCAGCCCTGGGAAGAGCAGTGGGTCAGGGACACATCCCTCAGCCTGGGGGTGGGGTGAGCAGCCGGCAGCCCCCTCCCCCACCCCATGTGCTAAGGAAGAGCCCTGTGCTTGGTGCTTGGAGCAGTGTCCTGATGGCCTGGTCTGGAAACTCCTAGTCGTTTGGAATGGGGGGTCCTGCATGTGCAGTTTGCGCTGGGCCTGCCCCAAGTGCCTCAAGGGCAAGGCCCTCTGCCTACCTCCCACCCCATTGCAGCGACCTGCAATGGGACTTTGGACCTCCCCATCCCGCTTTAGACTGGGACCCAGTGGTCTGACAGGGCTAGCAGAGGAGCAGTGGGACCAGGGAGCGGGGAGGCAGGGGCTTTGTGCAGTGGCCTCAGGACAGGGGGGAACTTGGAATCCCAGCCTTGGCTACCCTGCGCTGGTCAGGGACACCTGGCTCCCTGGGATTGAGGCCCTGGGTGAGATGGGGCAGGGGGCTGACTCCTTGTTCCCCATCCTTCCCAGGGACAATTCCCCAAAACAGACCTAGCCCACCATTAGATAAAATGCCTCTTTGTTAAATAAGACATTTTAAACCCCTGGCTCCTGGGGCTATCGGAATAGAAGAACTTGGGATGGGGGTACCGCGGCAACCACGGTCAGCCCGTCTGTTCTGTTCCCCCAGCCAGCACATCCCTGTGCCTAGCAGGACAGGCTCCAGCTTTTATCTCTTGGTCAGTTCCAGTCTGGGTACAGGAGAAACAAAGATTAACCAAGAGAGGTCCTGTAGGGTGAATATCTCAGCCCACCTTCTCTCTCTCTGAGAAGCCCAAACAAACAAGGTATTTAGACCTTTGCACCTAAGGGTATAATACAAAATGAACCCCCCACCCCACCCCCACCTAAGGGTGTAATACAAAATGAACAGATCCCCCACCCCACCCCCACCTAAGCGTGTAATACAAAATAAACAGATTCTCTAGACCCCACCCTGGGAGCTGTCCACCCCCTGGCAGGGTTGTGTATCTAAACAGCCTGAAGCAACAGTCAGAACTTTCATAGCACACAAATTCCACAGATTAGGAAAGATTTAATAGTCCTTCTTCCCTCTGTTGTGGTCTCTCAAACTCCCCTTGGCTAAAGAGAGCAGGTTCGGCAGTGCTGGGAGCAGGGGCCTAATGGTGGTGCCCTCTGTCCCACTTGCTCCATCTATGCAGCTCCGAGGAATTCAGGTCGACTTAGGACCTCTTCCCAGGGACTCCCTGACCACCCCTTCCAGACCACAGGGCCCCTCCCCCCACTGAGCTATCTGGCTCGGCCATGGGAGGCAGCAGGCGATGCTGATCTTAAGGGAAGCCCCTGAGACTCTTGCCTGAGTCTGCCCTTGGTCCCACGAGCCCACTAGACACCCCTCTCCGATCTGTCACTGCACACTGCGGGTCACGTCCATCTTAGACGGAGAGCGTCTCTGATCCCCTCTGCTCCCAGCCTCATTCTGACCCTGTCTCTACCCAGCTCGTGTTCACTTTCCCCCCAGGATTCGAGAGTCTCCACTGCTCCAGGCCGCCAAAGAAAACGACCTGTTTGCCCTTAGGCAACTTATGCTGGACCCAACCTGTGACTTTCGACAAAGAGGTGGGATCTGGGTTTACAGGGATGGAGGTGGGGGCAGAAGCACCTGCTCCCCCCACCCCCGCCCCCACCCCAGGACTGGGGAATTTTCACAATGGGGCCTTGCAGGGTGTCTCTGGGGCTGGGTGCACCCTTCTCGCGGGAGGCCGGGACGTGTCTGACGTCCCCGTGTGACCCCACGCCAGGAGCGCTGGGGGAGACGGCGCTGCACGTCGCTGCCCTCTACGACAACCTGGAGGCGGCCACGGCGCTGATGGAGGCCGCCCCAGATCTGGTACGCGAGCCCACCTTGTACGAGCCTCTTGTAGGTAAGCAGGATGCTCATCTCTTCTGGGTGGAAACGCTGCGGGGCAGGGTGTGCTGTCGTCTCTTAAAATGCGCCTCTGTAGGGTGGGCCGGGGCGGAGTGAGGGCGGGTCAAGGGGAGAAGGGGGGGAGGAGGCAAAAGTCCTGGTCCTGGCTCTGAGCATCCGTGGCTTCCTTTGGCCACTTAGTATTTCCTTTCAGTCCTCCCGTGGTTGCTGAAGGGCCTGCCTTGTGTTCCTTTCTCTCAGATCGACACAGAGCGATGACATTTACACAGCACTGTCTCCCCCGGCTCCACCGCTCCCAGTAGCCAAGGGACAGGTGCAATGGGCAGGGCAGCCTGAGGGACTAACTGCCCTGACCCTGCCAAGGCCGGGGCACAAGTCTACCAAAGGACCTGTTAGGAATGGAGGCTGGAGGGTGTCAGGTCCCTGAGAGAACTGGGGACAGAGACAGTCCCGTGACTGACGACTGTCTCCCGGCCAGGTCAGACTGCACTGCACATCGCTATCGTGAACCAGAACGTGAACCTGGTGCGAGCCCTGCTGGCCCACGGGGCCAGTGTCTCTGCCAGAGCTACAGGAGCCGCCTTCCGCCGCAGTCCCCAGAACCTCATCTACTTCGGTAAGAGCAGGGCAGGCTGGGAGTTCGGGCAGGTGGACAGGTGGGCAAGGGCAGAGGGGGCCCTGCCCTCGCTCTATCTGCCTGGCAGCTGGGACAAGCAGCCCTTCCAGGGCTCGATTAGGCCATAGGCCAATGCCCACAGCCCTTCCTCTGGTTCTGCCAGACAAGTGTCCCCAAGACCCGAGCTGAGGTGTGGGGCCGCGGGGAGGAGCAGGCAGGCACTTGGGGGACACAGCCCATCCTGTCCTGCCGTGTTCTGCTCTCTGCCACGGGGATCCCTCTGTGTCCCCAGGGGAGCACCCTTTGTCCTTTGCCGCGTGCGTGGGCAGCGAGGAGATCGTGCGGCTGCTCATTGAGCATGGAGCCAACATCCGGGCCCAGGACTCCCTGGGTAAGAGCGGGGGTGGGGAGGGGGGGCTGGCTGCTGCCAGGGGGTGAGGGGAGGAGCGGGACAGCCCTCAGGCCCACCCCAGGTGGGGATGGGGACATCAGGGACTCTAGGCCGGTGGCCCCGTGACACCCTGTGTCCTCCCCCAGGAAACACAGTGTTGCACATCCTCATCCTCCAGCCCAACAAAACCTTCGCCTGCCAGATGTACAACCTGCTGCTGTCCTACGATGGCCGTGGAGACCACCTGCAGCCCCTGGAGGCAGTGCCCAACCACCAGGGGCTCACCCCCTTCAAGCTGGCCGGAGTGGAGGGCAACACCGTGGTGAGGGACCCCCCTGTCTGCGGTGTCTTCCCCGTGACCCTCACCCCATCCTGCCTGCCCCGGGAGCAAATAGACGTGAAGGAAGGGTCTTTCTAAAAACGCCTTTTCCTCCAAATTCCCCAAAGGGTGGTGGCCCCTGACTTCCTATCCCGTCACTCAAACCCTCAGCCTCAGGTTCCCTTACTCAGAAGGATTTGAGGATATTGCCCTACATGCCTGTTACAGAAACCCAAAGCTCTGCTCCCTTCGCCTGTTCCTTCTTTCAGAGCTCTGCGGGGTTTGTGGGAAGGAAAATTGGCAATAAAAGTGAGGCTCGAAGCAGAGGTTTGCCAGTCCCCCACTTTGTATGTATCCCAAGGAGTGGGAAGCTGGCCTCGTCCGCTCATGCCATCCCCCCGGAGTAGCTTCTCACACTGTGACCGCCAACTCACCCCTGTGCTCTCCCAGATGTTCCAACACCTGATGCAGAAGCGGAAGCACATCCAGTGGACGTACGGGCCGCTGACCTCCACCCTCTACGACCTCACCGAGATCGACTCCTGGGGAGAGGAGCTGTCCTTTCTGGAGCTCGTGGTCTCCTCCAGCAAGCGGGAGGTATGGATGCGAAGCAGCGTCACGGGCCGCCGTGGGAGGGAGCTTGGTGTCCATGCAGAGCCTGTCCACTGGCCAGGATCCTGGGCGCCAGACACTCCCAGCCTTGTGCCAGGTGGAGGTGTGAACAGTGTCCTGGGACCTGTGGGACGAAGTGCAACACACACCCACCTCTCGAGGCAGTGCCCTGTCAGCTTAGCGCTAGTCCTTTCTGCTGGCCATTCTCACTCTGACATTTCAGATGAGGAACTCTCCAAATAGGAGTTTGTTTCCTTCCATTCATTCATTCATTCATTCATTCATTCATTCATTGCTGTATCTCAGGCACTGCACAAGGAACTGAGAATACAGAGATACACAAAACAGTTCTTGTCAGTCCGCTCCCTCCGGTCTTGGCCCCCATCCTCAATAATTTTAATAGCGAACAACATACACTAGCACTAGAATAGGGGTGTGTGCTGCGTGCAGGAGCAGCACATTTGTGGCAGGGTTAGCTTGGCCTGGGCGGGCCAGAGAAGGTGTTGCAGAGGAAATGCTTGAGCATTTCTTCAAGGGAGAGTTAGGAATCACCAGGAAGATGACAAAAACGAGAGCTTTTTAGAGAGGGAGCAACACAGGCATCATTCCACGGTGCTGGACTGAGTGAGAACAGGGGCAGGAAAATTTGTGGAAATTGGGTAGAGAGGAGAAAACCCTGGCTTTCAGGAACCGCCACGAGAGTGGCAAGGTAGAGTTTCTGTTGTTTATCTGCCACCTGACAATTTCCTGGGAACCCTTATAGAACAATAAAACATGAATGACTATTAATACTAAGGAATAGTTGAGTGGCCAGTTTGTGTGATCTTCCTTAAAGAAGATCTGTTTCCTAGAAACTGGTGTGCTTTGGGTAGGATTTCTTAGGGAGTAAAACTCTAATCCTTCTCTGTGGATTTTGCCACCACGGATCCTTGGTCTTCAGTTTCAGCCAATTCTCAATATTCTCCTGTAGGTTTTATACTTGTCTTGGGTCATCTACTTTTCTCTTTCTTAAAACATTTTTTTATAGCCTCCTTTCATATCCCTGACTACCTTCATCTTTTGTTCTGTTGGAAAACTTCTACTTTACAACAAAAATAGGGGATCTTTGGCTGGGCTTCTTGAACTTCCTCCCCTGAACTGCCAAGTGTGTCTGGAAACCACCCACTATCTCCCTCCTACCCTCCAGCTTGAATGGAAAAGATATTCTTTCTGTTAATGGCTAATCTCTCTGCTGTGCTTTGAGTCTGCCTCTTCCTAGTTTCTCAGATGCCTCCTCCTGTCCATCACCTCCTCTCATTTGTGCCTTTAACCTCTCATCACCTGCCTATGTCAGAGCACCCCCTCCCCCCGGCTTAGATGATTGCCACATCCTACCACCTGTAGCCTCTATTGCTTTTCTCCAGCCCAGCAATACTTCTAGAGCAAATCTGACCACTTCTCTGCTTGAACTCCACAATCGCTTTCCATTGCACTTAGAAAAAAAAAATCTCAAACTTCCTACCTTGATGCACAAACTTCCTATCATGATGCACAAAGATCTAGCCCTTATCTACTTCACTGCTCATAGCTTCTGCCCACCACTTCTAGTAGATTCTCCATGTGTTCAACCACACCTCATCTGCAGATGGGTGGTGGCTGCTCGTACCCTCCTGCCCTGGCAACTGCTGCTACTTTACTGTGTGATCTTTCCCACCTCTCCCTTCACTCAGCTAGTGACGACTCATTCTTTAGCTCCTCCATGGTGCTATGCACCTGTGCTTACTTCTGTGATCACCTACCTGTAGCTCTAGCTCAAGCCTTGGCATATACTAGAAATTTGCTAGTTGTCTATCGAACCAATGACTGATTGATTAACTGAGTGAATGCCAGTAGGAATGGTTACTGCCCTGCCCCTTCTGGGACCCCATGGAAAACTCAACACTCCTCACTATGTGGTCACCCCAAGCGTTGCTCTTCTTCCATGGCAGGCTCGCCAGATCCTGGAACAGACCCCAGTGAAGGAGCTGGTGAGCTTCAAGTGGAACAAATACGGGCGGCCGTACTTCTGTGTGCTGGGGGCCTTGTACCTGCTCTACATGGCGTGCTTCACGGCATGCTGCATCTACCGCCCCCTCAAGTTCCGTGGCAGCAACCGCACTCATTCTCGAGATAACACCATCCTCCAACAGAAACTACTACAGGTGATTTTTCTCTGCAGGGGATGACAGGGAGTGGTGGCACTTTTGGTGATGGTGCAGGAGACCAGAGTGATGCCACCCAGGAAAGACGTCACTCCCCAGGCTGCAGCAGTTGCAGGCTCTTAAACATCTGGGTAGAAATTAGGAGTGAGATCAGAGGGCCAGGAGAGGGAGCTTAGTGTGTAAAAGAGTATTTGACCAGGAAGCTGTGGACCTTCTCACACAAACTTTGAAAGGGTGCTTGATATCCGCAGCCCTGTCCATTAGGGAAATTCCTTATAATTTACGAAGAGAACTAGCCTTTTGTAATGGGATGGACGAGTGAAACTCTGTTGTTCGAGAGGAGGAAAATGGTGCTTCCTGTCCATTACTGAGTCCATTTCTGGTGTATGAGGGCAGCACAGACTCTGGCAGGCATCCTTTCCTGGGTGCTGTCAATATGAGCCCATGAAAGTAATGCATGAGTGGTCTGACCACCTGTCACATATGCTGCAGAGTGACACCTGGATTGGGTAGCAGGTGAAAGTCAATATCCTCTGAGGTTTCTTTTGCTGCTGTGGGCCTGCTAGTCTGTGCTGTGGTGGCCAAAGGAGACCTGGGCTAGTGAGGAGGACTGGTTCGAAGCGTGGAGTGAATGCAAAGATCAGCTGTTGAAGGAAGCACACCCTCCTGTGTGTGTAAGAGAATGAGCAGACTCTACTGAGCACTTCTGGACATATATATTCAACAAACATTCCTACATTTGGGGGGTTGACTCTTCATGGATTACTAAAATTTTTGTTGTAGTCAGCTAAAAGTAGCCTAAAGGCAGTGTGGGCATGTGGGCAGAAAGCATATGATAGGGGAAGAAGAATTTTGCAAAGCAAGTGAGAGCTGGGTGGCTGGAGATCTCTGTCTATGCAGGATAGACCAGCCCTAATAAGTGTAGCTCAGTCTGGATTAGGAAAAGGGGTAGTTTGGTTCAGAAAGAGAACATAAACTTCTTATAGTCAAGAAACAAAAACCCTGAGTTGGGTTAGATCAAAGACAGTGGTATGCACAGAGAAAGAACAGGACAAAGGGTCTCAATGGACCCCAAGCTAAGAAAAAACACTCCATCTCTCCTGTTTCTATAATTGCCTCTCTCTCTCTCTCTCTCTCTCTCTCTCTCTCTCTCTCTCTCTCTCTCTCCCCCTGTATATCTATCTATCTAAAACGTGCTCATGTATCCACTACCCTCACAAAGTAGGTTTTGCTGCCTGGGAGGACAAGCCTGACTGTGTCATGGGGTGGCCATGGAGTGCCTGGGGGAGGCTGTGTTCCATGCATCTCAGTCTTTGTGAAGGTCGTTCCTGGTGCGGAGACCACGTAAGGGGAGTAAAGACATTTAGGAGATGGCCAAGTGGGATGTGACAGTGACTAGAAGTGGAGAATATGTGCAAACACGAACGACTTGGGGGGTGTCCGGACTTTTCCAATGCTCCTGGCCCTGTTTGCTCAGATGTGTTTTTCCCAACCTTCCTTTGTTGCAAACTTACTTTCCGCATTTAGAACACAGATGGTGTCCTAGCCTAGGAGTTGGGTGGTGCTGAGCAATTGTTACCATGAAGTCTCCTTCTTGTGTGTCTCTTTGTCTCTGAGACAGGACTACTCATGTACAAATACGTATGTTTAAAAGGTCCCTTCCCTTTGCTTCAGGACTAGGAGGAATATAGTTAGAGCTGTGACCTCTGTCCAGCCTTCTTTTGTCCTGTCCTCATGCTTTGTTCCTCCTCATTAGTGTTTTTAACCTTTGCCTCCTGCTTAGGGAGAAGCCACTTAGGCCCAAATAGAAGACTCTGGACTTTCAAGTATTCTTTTCTTGGTGGGGAAGAGGGTTAAGACTGCTGCTATACGGGGTTTAGATAGAGAAACACACTAATGAAATGTCCTTATTGTTTGGAGTAAACCCTTAAGCCTCCCTCCTGAGTTGTTGGATGTCTGTGTTCCTCTTATTCAGTAGTCAGTCAGTTGGGATTAGGTCAGGAACTCCCAAACTTGTCACCACGATTTGAATGATTCTGTTGTCACAATGCGCCAGATTTGGTGGTTTTTTTTTTTTTTCTTTTACTAGGCAATTCTCTTTCTTTCCTACTTTTTTGTCACTTGAAGGTTTTAGAAAAATGAAAATGCACAAATACAGTGTCTTGACTTGATGAATGCAATTGTTCACATAGGAGCTAGCCTGTGGAACGTTTTCTTGGATGAATGAATATGTTAATATCCAATTATATTATATAAGTCTGGAAACACAAGGCTCTTAGTCATGCACGACTTCCTCTGAGGATCTTTTGGGATCTGTGGAAATCACTGGGCTCCACAACCCCTAAGATGCCTTACAGTTGAACATCTGGGATTTTTTTTTTTTTTTTTTTTTGAGACAGAGTCTCGCTTTGTTGCCCAGGCTAGAGTGAGTGCCGTGGCGTCAGCCTAGCTCACAGCAACCTGAAACTCCTGGGCTCGAGTGATCCTTCTGCCTCAGCCTCCCGGGTAGCTGGGACTACAGGCATGCGCCACCATGCCCGGCTAATTTTTTATATATATATCAGTTGGCCAATTAATTTCTTTCTATTTATAGTAGAGATGGGGTCTCGCTCTTGCTCAGGCTGGTTTTGAACTCCTGACCTTGAGCAATCCGCCCGCCTCGGCCTCCCAAGAGCTAGGATTACAGGCGTGAGCCACAGCGCCCGGCCAACATCTGGGATTTTATGAGAGCAGCCTAACAGCACCATCTTAGGACAGTTGAAATGAAAGAAAACAAACTCCTCTACTTCTATGAGGTAGCAAAACCTGCGCAGTGGTTGACATCTGTAAACATGGAGTTAGTTTATCTCTGTCCAATTTGGGGGATCTCTTAGAGACTCTAAGGTGCCTCATCATTCAGCCATAAAAGCTCTGTTTTTCCAGGGTTTCCCAAGAACTGTATTAATTCGAGGTAATTTCCTATTTCTGTTCATTTCTGCTTGGTTTAGGCAGAGCAGCGTGCTCTATAGTACTAGTTCTTTCGGAGGCCCAGGTGAGTAAAAAGTTTAAAGTCCTGGAGTTAAGCAGCTTTGGTTTAAGTCCTAGCTCTGAAATTAAATAGTGGTCTGACCTTGGGCAAATCCTACCTCCTGTTAGATCTGTGATTTTTAACCCAGCCTGCACATTAGAGACCTGGGAAGCTGGTAAGACAACTGGCTCCTAGGCTACACCCCAGGCCTGATAAGTCAGAAAGTTTAAAGCTGAGGCCCTGGACTTCGTATTTTTAAGAAACTCTTTCTAATGTTCAGCCAGGCTTGAGAACTACTGGCTTCTGTCTCTGAGATGCATTCAGCCCCAGAAGCCCACTCTCAGGCCCAGCCCTCTGCTCATTTGGAGTCCTGGTGTGCTGTTTGGTAGCAGGGCACTAATCTTCCATCATTGTGCCCCCTCCTTGTCTCTCAGAAAAGATTCCCTCAAACTCTCTTTTGCCCTTTTCTTTCCCAGAAACATTTCACTAATTCATTTGTTAAACAAATAGTTACTGAGAGCCTCGTAAAGGCTGAACGTTGCTCTAGGTGTTGGAAATTCAACATTCATGGTCTGTGCAAAACTCACGTGATCTCTGCCTTTCTGGAGCTTACAGACTGGTTTACATTAATCAAATGATCATATGAATAGATTGCATTACAACCTGTGATTGTTATCATTAACGTTATGTTTTCCTAGGATAATAAAAAGGAAAGAGCACTAAGAGGCCTTATAACAAGGTCCATGCGTATACCTCTGGGACGCCAGAGAAGGTGTCTGAGGAAGGTAACTGAGCTGAGATCTGGGAACAAGTTCAAGGAGGCAAGAGAGCTCTAGGGACAGAGGGTTCAGATTCAAAGGCTCTGAGGCAGGAAGAACCTTGCCAAGACCGAGGGACTGAAAGAGGGTTCACCAGCACACGCGGAGACTGGGAGTTGGGATGGGTGCCTCCACATGAGGTTGTACAGGCAGATTCTTCCAGAATCGTGCAGAGATTTTTCAGGCCATGCTGAGGATTTTACTCCGTATCCCCAAGATAATGAGAGCACAGAAGGATTTTAGACAAGGGAAGAACTTGACTAAGTTTTTGTTTTAGAAAAATGACTTTGCTTGCAGGGTGGAGAACAGGTGTGAGGAGACCAGTCAGGAGACTATTACAGTTTAGCAAGCAAGAGAGCATGGGGGGCTGGCCCAGGAATGCGAAGGGGAGATGCAGGTAAGGGGTTGGCATCAGGAGACTGAATGAAGGTAAGATCACCTCTGCTGTGTGGCGGATTGGATGCAGAGGGAGGGGACAGCCTCAGAAAGGACAGATTGGTTTCCATTCCTTGTAAATCATCTTCTACCTGCCACAATCATTGCTGTTGATTTGTCTACACATCATCGTTCCTCATAAGTTCTGCACAAGCCAAAGCACCACGGGAATTTGAAAAAGCAACTGGTCTACAACTCTACACAACTTTGTTCAGAGGTCTTACCAACCCACTGTGGAACAAGCACAGCACATTAAAGACAAGAAAAGAGATGAGGAACAGCATCACCGAGTGCTTACTACGTGCACTTTACACGCATATTACCCACACCTTTGAGATCATGTTCAAATGTCATTAGATCCAGCAATCCCACTACTGGGCATCTACCCAAAGGGAAAAAAATCATTCTGTAATAAAGACCTCTGCACTCAAATGTTTATAGCATCACAACCCACAATTGCAAAGATGTGGAAACAACCCAAGTGCCCATCAATACATGAGTGGATTAACAAAATGTGATATATGTATACCATGGAGTTCTACTTAGCCACATAAAACAATGGTGAATTAGTACCTCTTCTGTTATCCTTGATAGAGCTGGACCCCATTCTTTGAAACGAAGTATCCCAAGAATGGACAAACAAGCACCACATGTACTCACCATCTAATTGGTATTAACTGATCACCACTAAGGTGCACACATGGAAGCAATATTCATCGGGTGTCAATCAGGGGGAGGCGATGGGTATATTCACACTAATATGTGTGGTGGGCGCTGTCTGCAGGTTGGGTGTGCTTGTAGCTCTGGCTTGGGCAGTGCAAAGGCAATATATGTAACCAAAATGTTTGTACCCCCATAATATTCTGAAATTTAAAAATAAAAAAAAATTTTTAAAATGTAGATTCTGACAGGAAGGCTGGGGTGGGACCTAACACTCCGCTTTCCTAACGAGCTGCCAGGGGAGGCTGACATTGTGATTCCGTGGACCATGTTTTGGATGGCAAAGCAAGATAGCATTTGATCCTCGTATTTAACAAGTAAATGCAATTATCACCACTTTAACGAAGGTGAAGCTGAGCTTAAGAGAGGTTGAGTACTTTGCAAAGACACTGGGCTAGCGAGGGCAGTGCTGGGATTGGGTGCAGGCTGCTTGCTTGAGAATCTTCACCTGTAAATACCACGTGGAGCTCTTTCTCCCTCCAGAGTGATGTCTGGGATCCCAGTCTTCTCCCTCAGCCAGCCCGGGCTGCCACACTCACCTTTCTCTGCCACACCCAACCCTTCCCTGTCAAGATGAGGGGCACTGAGTATGGGGGTGGGGGCAGTGAGATATGGAAGGACTCCCGCCCCTAGCTACTGAGCTGCTGGCTATTCTAGCTTTGAAAATTAGCACTATTCTTTTTCATGTGGTTAAGCTATTGGCATTCGGGAAAAGTCATAATTCTGTGGGATGGGTAAGGACACTTCTGAAGAGAGTGAAAATTCCCCAAGTCAGTCCTCCGGAGGAAACGCAGAGATCAGGAGATGAAATCGACCCTTGGAAAGTAGCCTTACTTGCACGGGAAGGAGGAGATGTCCCCCTCTCTTTGCGGCCCAGCAGTTCTCAACTTGGTGCACTTATGAGAAACACCTACAGAGCTTTTTTTTTAAAGAAAATGCTGAGTCCCTGACCCAAAGTAACCCAGGGTTGGCCTGGACATGAGTGTTGTGACAGAGTCTGCCCGGTTGGTTCTGATGGGCAGCCCTGGTTAGGAACCCAGGCCCAGTTCAGAGAGCCAGAGTAACTCTTCATTAAGAGCCAGCAGGGCTTTTTCCGGGAACATCACTACTTTGCAAGTCTGGGATCATGGGGAGGAAAAAGAAGGTGTGGGGCCGGGTTGGCAACTGGTTCCCAGCTGGCTCTGGCATCCTCCCGCTCCCTGTCAGGGCTGACGCAGGGCACTCACCGGCCATTGTGCCCAGGCTCTGCCATGCCCACCCGCTCTGGGCATTTTCTTCAAGACAATGAACTCAGCCAGCTGGCAAGTGAGGGCAATCTCATTAGGCCAATTCTCAATGAAGTATAAATAGCCAGCTTGGGCAGGGGATTTGGTTGCTGACGACTCCTGACTTCTGAAATTCCAAGCCACGTAGTGATGTAAAAAATTCCAGTCATTGTTCAAGATATTTATTTGTAAAGGGGTGGGTTGTAGTATTTTCTCAGTGCATCATTAGCCAGGCCTGCCCAGGTGAGCTTGAGCTGAGAAGCTGGAAATCTCAGCAAAGCCCTGTTAGTTGTGATCCCTTCCTCCTTTTGCCCCCAGATAGGTCACCCTAGTCCCACTTCCTTTTTTTTTAAATTTCACAATATTATGGGGGTACAGACATTTTGGTTACATAAATTGGTTTTGTACAGTTTGGGTCAAAGTTACAGGTGTGTCCATCACCCATATAGTGTGCATTGTGCCTCTTGGGTGTGAATTTACCCTTCCCCTCTTCCCTCCTCCCTCCTGCTTGATTTCCGATGAGTGTTATTTCCAAATGTGCACATTAAGTGTTGATTGTTTAGTTCCAATTTAATGGTAAGTACATGCGGTGTTTGTTTTTTCCATTCTTGTGAGGCTTCGCTTAGAAGAATGGTCTCCAGTTCCATCCAGGCTGTTACAAAAGGTAACAGAGCAGCCAGGTTTAAGGAAGAAAACCCCCAGGGATGGGGGTTGGAGGGTAGAAGCAGCTACCCAGGGCAATCACATCCCAGGCAGAGCTGAAGCAAAAGCTTGGGGTTTCTGGACACCTTGGTTACTAACCAGTGAATTTGTGCAGGGGAATACCTTCTCCTAAAGGAATCTGTTGAAGAAGAAAAGAAGACCTGGTGAAGATAGGCCCCAGCAGGAGAGTTTGGGGTCCCAAACTGGCCCCAACACTCTCAGTTGCCTGAGGTCTCACACTTTGATCTCCTGAGGGACTAGCTGGTGCCATTCCCATGCTGGCCTCTAGGGGCACTCCTATCTTCACAGCTCTCCTGGCCACCTGTGTGCAATTCCTTTTCCTTTTGAGCCCAGAGAAAGGTTGGTTGCATTCTTGAGACGTGCTCAACTAAGATACAAAGTTTTAAAAAGAATTGAAAAATGTTGTACAGATACGTATATGGCATATATGCATTTATCTTATTTCTGTATTTAATATTTTTTTCCTTAAATATTGTATTTGTTATTTATTCGCCTACTTACTACCTGACTCTGAAGAAGACTTGGAATGTTTGACAATAAAAGACAGATGCCATAGGAACATTAAGAGGAAGAAAAAGAGGCTGGGTGTGGTGGCTCACACCTGTAATTCTAGCACTTTGGGAGGCCAAGGTGGGAGGATCGCTTGAGGCCAGGAGTTGGAGACCAGCCTGAGTAACATAGAGAGACCCTGTTTCTACCCAAAACAGCGTGGTGGCACGTGTCTGTAGTCCCTGCTTCTTGGGAGGCTGAGGCAGAAGGATTGCTTGAGCTCAGGAGTTTGAAGTTGCAGTGAACTGTGATGACGCCACTGCACTCTACCCAGGGCGACAGAGCAAGACCTTGTCTAAAAAAGAAAGAAACGAAAGAAAAAAAGAAAGAAAGAAAGAAAGAAAGAAAGAAAGAAAGAAAGAAAGAAAGAAAGAAAGAAAGAAAGAAAGAGAGAGAGAGAGAGAGAGAGAAAGAAAGAGAGAGAGAGAGAGAGAGAGAGAGAAAGAAAGAAAGAAAGAAAGAAAGAAAGAAAGAAAGAAAGAAAGAAAAGAAAAGAAGAAGAATACAGTCCATGAACTGAATTTCAGGAGAGAGCAGAGGAAATTCAAAGATGGTTGCTAAAACTGAGGACAAAAAAAGAACTCTGAAATTCCTTGGATGCAAGGGAAAAGAGACATTTTCCACTATATGGTAAAATTAAAATACAATTTACCATTTCTCAAGAGAGATAGATGTCAAAAGTTTATAGGACATAACATTTTTTCAACCAAAAAAAAATGTTGACTGATGTCTGGTCACAGGTTGTTAGATCACAGAATTCTCTGGGCACATAGACAGAAGCTCCTTTCCTGGTCTTAGTCCCGTATACTTTTACCTGCAACTTCGCCACCACCTGTTGGCACACCTGGTCCTACTCTCCTGTGCGGGCCGTATCCTTTCCTTGGCTTCTTCTGGGCTGACTCCCACTGGCAGCTCTGGGGCTCACGGTGAGGGGCTTCTCCCACGGAAGACCACCTCCCGCCACACAGGATCTCTTCCCACCGTACCAGCTCTGCCTCTCGCTGGCCCGGCAAGCGCGCTGCCACAGCAGCCGTGCAGGGATGCTGTCAGCGTCCGGTTTGTCAGCAGACAGGGGTGACTGCTGCTCCTCGTGCCTGATGAGGGCTCCCATTCTCCCTACTGCAAATCATCAGCTTTGCTGCCGGCCGCAGGGACTCTCACCTCGTTTCATAAGTGTGGTTTTTGGAGATGTGACCTTGGAAAACAGAGTTCCCCAAAGCCTAAAGGCTACTTGAGTGTGTTGAAATTGTTTGTACAATTTCATGTGGAAATCGTCGATGTATGAACACAATTTTCCAGAAAGAGGGTTCATAGTCTTTGTTATCTTCTTAGGTGGGCTCATAACTTCAAGAAAGTTAAGGATCATGAATGTAGAATTTTATTATTACCTCTGCATAATATTGCAGAGTCTTACTGAGAAGTAACATGCGATGAAGTAGGATGGTCTTTGTTCCACCTTGACGCTAGAACCATACCTTCTACACCTACTGTTTAGGACAGGCATGGTCACTTCCTCAAAGCTAACATCCATACAGTGTTTCTAGCCCCTTTTCTGTCCTTTTCTATATTGCCAAAGCATAACAAAACACCAGTAAATATATCTATAGTGCTCTATGGTTTATAAAGTTCATCCAAATGCATCACTAATTTGATTGTCATAGTAACTGCAGGAGGTGAGCATGGTCGTCTCCATTTCACAGATGAGAAACCTCAAGTTCAGAGATATTCAATGACTAGTACAAGTTCTCATTGGAAGTACTAGGTTCTGGGCCCATGCTGGACCCTGAATTCTGTGATATGTTTACTGTGTATTTACCCTTTGGGGAGCCAGGATGAGATTGGAAAAGCCGGACTTTCTGCATAGCTGAAATTGTCCCAAGCCACTAATATCTTTTCCTGTTGGTTCAACCTTCTTAACTCGATGCTCTGAAATGTGTTCTTGGCTTCTTAATAAACACATCATAAATGACTGCTTACAACGTGTATAGAAAAGGTGACTTTGCTGGATGGTAGCTCAAGTCATTAGCATATGCAAGATATATTAGACTTCAGATGTATACACTCATGTCCTAGTCACAGAGTTAGCTACAGTGGCAGACACAGTGGGGGTGGGGGAAATGCTGGTGGTAAGGGGAGCTTTTCGTTACCTTGGGTGGACCTTGGCAGCTCTAGACCACTTGCCCAAAAGGATGTGACTCTCCACCCAACAGAAAGCACTTCTTATTCTGAATTTCCTCCCATAGGAGGCCTACGTGACGCATCAGGATATAGTCCGGCTGGTGGGAGAGCTGGTGACCATCCTTGGGGCCGTGATCATCCTGCTCCTAGAGGTGAGGTGCAGGCGGGACCCAGTCCAAGGCCACCCCTCTGAGCCCCAGACTGAACTGCAGTTTGCATCGTCTTTTCATTTTTCCGGGTTCTTCCCAGATCCCAGACATCTTCAGGGTCGGTGCCTCTCGCTATTTTGGACAGACGATTCTTGGGGGGCCTTTCCATGTCATCATGTGAGTGTCCCCTCATTCCAGCCCCTGCCTTTTCTCACCAGATCAGCTCTAGGTCTCTGGCTCATTCTCTGGGATCTAGACCTCAGGCGACTGTCACTCCAGGGATTTCTCTCCAGTGGGCTTGTACGTGTGACTGCTTGTGTGTTTTAGGTGTAAATCCTGTGTGTGTGGGTACCACCCAAGTCACCGCTGTGCTGTGGGGGGCCTACAATACTCCCAGCCCCTCTCTCACTGCCCTGTTCCCTGCTCTCTCCCAGCATCACCTACGCCTTCATGGTGCTGGTCACCATGGTGATGCGGCTCACCAACACCGACGGGGAGGTGGTGCCCATGTCCCTGGCCCTGGTGCTGGGCTGGTGCAGTGTCATGTACTTTGCCAGAGGATTCCAGATGCTGGGCCCCTTCACCATCATGATCCAGAAGGTCAGTGCCTTCCCATCGCTGGGCCCTTCCCCGACAGAGGGATAGGGGCAGACACAGAGAGGGACCATGGGGACCTACTTATCTGTTAGCAATGGCTGCTCAGAGACATTGGAAAAGGGATCATCCTCACCTGCCTCACCTTTTCTGTTTCCCGCAGATGATTTTTGGAGACCTGATGCGTTTCTGCTGGCTGATGGCTGTGGTCATCCTGGGCTTTGCCTCAGGTAAGTCACTCTTACCTCAATCCACATCTCTAGACAGTTCCCGCTGACTCTTGCTCTCAGTTCTTATTTGCACTCCATTTTGGTTTTCTTTTTCTTTTTTTCTATTGGAAAGTGAGTTTAAAAGCACACCCATATTCATATGATCAGGGCCACTCAGGTTGGCCTAAAAAGTAGACCTGTAGGTTCAGGGCCAATAACTCTCATGTTGTAACAGGTTTCCAGGACGCCCACTAGCACCCAATAGGCTATGAGCAGGGATAACTTCTCCGTGAGGGTCCAGGTTCACCAAGGGACTCTCAAAGCATGGGATGGTTATCTAGAGTCCAACAAGATAACAAAGAAGCTCTTCTTTTAGCCTTCTCATGTATTCTGTTCTTTAAAATTGTTGGAGATTCCATGCAGTTTTGTAATAACTTACATTTTAAGTATTTGGTTTTCTGAAATGAATAAACCAGTTAGGTGACTTATTAATATCCACACACACACACACACACACACACACATTTCTTTTTGCTAAATGGCTGAGTATTACCATTATCATTCCCCAGAATGATGAACTGAGACATAGAACATCTTAGGGTTAGCCAGTCCCACAGATAACTACGTGTATGGGTGTGTGATTGCACATGCATGTGAGTTGGTGGAGCTGTGTATTTCAGAGGTGGAATGAATGCTGGCCAGGCCCATGCTTATTGTGATAACTCCATTTCCCATCTCCATGCCCTCTTCCTGGGCGGAGCAGCGTTCTATATCATTTTCCAGACGGAGGACCCAACCAATCTGGGCGAATTCTACGACTACCCCATGGCATTGTTCAGCACCTTCGAGCTTTTCCTCACCATCATTGACGCGCCCGCCAACTACGAAGTGAACTTGCCCTTCATGTTTGGCATCGTCAACTTTGCCTTTGCCATCATCGCCACGCTGCTTATGCTCAACCTGTTCATCGCCATGATGGGTGACACACACTGGAGGGTGGCCCAGGAGCGGGACGAGCTCTGGAGAGCCCAGGCGAGTTCATTAGTGTTAGTCTTGCTAGGCGGCAGGGGATGGAGAGAAAGATCAAAGCAGGAATTGTCATGGCGGACCATGCTCAGGAGAGTCACAGAACAGCCCAGGGGAGCTGTCACTTCAACAGAGGCTTATATGAGTCTGAGAATCTGAAGTATGTGTGGGCGGGTGTAGGGGACAGACGGAGGATGAAATGGAGGATGGAGGTGAGAGGTGGGGCTGTGGATCACGGGTGAAGAGTAGATCCAGGAGTCATCCTTGAGTCCAGTGGGAACTAAAAACTGTCTTATTCTTGTATAGTTTTTCACTTGGACCTTATCTTTTATTTGCTTCTATAACATCCTGTTTCTTTATGATCTTTTCTTTGTATCATCATAGACTAATAAAATATTAGAATTGAAAGTGACCCTAATGCTCCTCAAGGTGACTCCTATTTAGCATAATAATCATTTATTGGTCAGAGGGTCATTCAATATCTTCTTTAATGCTGATTAGGACCATATTATCTTATAGAATTGGGTAGGGGTTAGGAGGAGGGAGTTTTTCCATATTTTTAAAGATTTTGTTATTAGAAACATCCATGTAACATAGAGGTGAAGCCCATCTTCCTATAATTCCAGTCTTTGACCCCAGTTTTTTCCTCTCATATAACACGGAACATATTCTTCCATATGAGCATCATGCAAATATTTGACTATAACCATCATTTATCCTCTCAGACGTTTTATTCACTTAACAATTATCATTTAGAGTCTGCTATATACTGGGAAATATCTAAAAGTTTGGATAGAAGCGTAAACACAACAGATAAAATCTGTGCCCTCGTGGTACTGATGGTTTAGTTGGAAAGACAGACATCAAGCAAGTGACTTCACAGAGAGCTGTAAAATTACAGCAGCAAAAGTGCCATAGAGACACATAACGTGTTAAGAAAAGGAAGCAACAGAAGACTCTGACTGGCAAGTTAGAAAATTCTTTCCCAGGGGAGTAGCATTTGAAATGAGACCCTAAAGATGAGTCAGAACTAGCTAGTTAAAAGGAATGAGGAAAAAGGATGGAGATCAAGGTTTGTACCAATTAGGACTGTTGACTACAGCAAAGACAACTAAACTGAAACAGATTTTTTTTTGCTTTTGTTTTTTAAGTAAGGGAAGGAGGATGTGTTAGTCCTTGTAAGTGGAAAGTTTAGAGAATTAAACTAGCTTTAGGGATGCCTGGCCAGAACGCAGATCTCCATCTCACTTGTTACATCAGCGTTTCTCCCTTCTGCTCTCTTTTAAGGCAAGCTCTCTCATCATGTTTGGGAAGTAGCCTCTATAAGCTCCAAAACCCAAAAGGAATGAGCATGTGCACTGCATTGCACAGTCCCAAGGGCTCCATTCACATTGTCTTCTGTGAGGCTGCTGATGCTGTCAGTGCCTCAGTCTTAAAAGAATAAAAAAAGAAATCTTTCCCCAGCAAGCTCATTCTAAGTGCCAACTCATTGGAACAAGTTTGTGTCATAGGTACATCTTGAACTTGAGGGAAGACCAAGGGCTGGAGAGAGGTGGTGTAGGTGGGGGCGATGAGGCTTGGGGAGAATAGACTGATTCACTGGGACTGTGTGAAGCCCGGTCTACTCTGACTCGTGGGCTGAGAGTGAGGAAGGAACAGTTCCCCAAAGGGAAAGATGGGTTCTGTCACCAGAGGAAGGAGGGGGCTGATGGGTGGCCCAAGAAGAACAATGAACATCCTTGTCAAGGGAAAGAAGAAGACCTATTCAGGGCAAGAGAACAAAATGACTGGAAATCCCGAGACAGGAAGGAGCTTGGTGCAACTAAGAGATGGAGAGAAGTGTGGAAGAATGAGAAAGACAGGGAGTGGGAAAACATGGGGTGGAGAATTTGCCATTATAGGGCATGCCAGCTCCTTCGATTCATAAATTTTCCTGGTCCCAAAATATGCTGATTGTACTTTTTTGTTCACGCTCTAATAGGCCACAGCCCCTTCACAACTAGAATGGTCTCGCTCTGAATGGAGCAATGCAGTAGACGGAGGGGCTATGCTTCTCTTTGCTTCGGACACGATACTATTAAAAGCACCTAAAATTGAGTCAGGTTCTTTTAGAAAAATATACAGGCTGGCCCTCATTAAGCTTATGATCAACTAGAACCCCTGCATCTTTGTTATATGACTCACTTAATTAAGCTTCTTACACGTAAATGAGTGACCTTAGACTTGGTTTTCTCAAATTTCATTTTCTTGGTTTGAGACCAGCATTCCACCCTGGTGAAATCATTTCATATTGCTTCCACCACTTCATGTATCATACATATCCCTCCCAGTTTTGTGTCACAAGCATATTTGATAAGCTTGTTTTCTGTATTCCATCTAAGCAATTAATGAGGGCTGAGCAAAGGACAGAACATGTGATGGACACGCTACTAGACATTTCTCTGCCAGGTCTGCAGTTATTAATCAACCCTTCTCCTTCTTAAGATATGGATATTTAATTTGCTGGAAATGCCCTGTAGCAGCCCAGTAGCAGCATATCACCGCCAAGATCATAGAGATTCTATTTAATCATTTTATTTAAATTAAGATAATTGGTTTATGGCTGTTCTATGAATAAGGAATTGAGATTAGTTTGGAGTGACTCACTTACCATGAATCTGAACAGTAAGGTAAGGATCACTATTTTATTCAAAACACTCCTAAAAAAACCCTCTCTCTTTTCTTGAGGAGTGAAGCAGGTAGCAGGTGCCAGGTGCAGGCCAGGGATGGATACATGGCTGCCCTCACCAGCGACCTCTAGCGTCCTCATCTCACAGGTCCCCTCTGTCGGTGGCCTCCGTGTTTGCCTGAACCTCATGGCTCTGAGTTTTTTCTCTCCTCCTTCCAGGTCGTGGCCACCACGGTGATGCTGGAGAGGAAGATGCCGCGCTTCCTGTGGCCGCGCTCTGGGATCTGCGGGTTCCACTATGGGCTGGGGGACCGCTGGTTCCTGCGGTGAGTGGCGGTGTGCCTGTGTGCGTGTGTGTGTGTGCACGTGTGTGTGTGTGTGAAACCGCAGACGTGTATGAGGCCGTGGGAGCCTGTCTCGGGGACGGTGCTGGAGCCGAGGTGGAGGCGTAACAAGAGTGCCGTGTGCACCCCGGGGCAGGGAAGTGCGGAAGGTTATGCCACACTTGTGTGTGTCCAGGCGCTGAAGTGAGCTGGGTCACCCAGCTTGCTTGCGTCTTGTTCCTACCTGACCTGACCTAACTTCCTCTTCATACTCCACCCCCATCTCCTGACGGGGCTCTCCTCCCCCCTCACATCTACTTCCTTATCCTTGTGACTCGTACCTGGTTCTATTTTCTCTTTCGCATTCCCACATAGTGTCGCGCGCGCGCACACAGCCCTGCAGATTCTGCAACCTCTTTCATCTCCATGCCAGGCTCACTCCAAACGCCTTCCCTTCCCTTGGTCCTAGATGTCTTCCTGCCTCAGCTCTGGGCCCTTCCTTCCCCTTTCCTCGCGGCCGATCCTGTTTTCTGAGTGGTCCCCCGCGGCGACTGAGCCCCCTCTCCCGCAGGGTGGAGAACCACCACTCCCAGAGCGCGCTGCGCGTGCTGCGCTACGTGGAGGCCTTCAAGGGCCCGGACAAGGAGGACGGGCAGGAGCAGTTTTCCGAGAAACAGCCCTCCGTAGCTGAGAGTGGGACCCTGGCTAGAGCCTCCCTGGCCCTGCCGACGCCCTCCCTGTCCCGGACCACGTCCCGCAGCAGCAGCCACCGGGGCTGGGAGGTCCTTCGTCGCAACACCCTGGGACACGTGAATCTCGTCCTGGACGTCGGTGAGGGGGACGGAGAGGAGGTCTACCGTCTATGATTGGCATCCCCGCCACTCTTGACCTGACTCCGGGTGGGCCTCGGGACGGGGACGGACAGGGAGACACCTGCCTGCGCAAGTATCTCCCTTTCATGCCTATGAAGCGTGGGAGGGTGTGGACAGAACACTTCCTCAGGGCCATGTCTCCCTCCACATCAGCGTTTCTGGAGCTGGGGCATGGGCATGCATTGTCCCACACATTTTCTGGGTTCTTTGAAGTCCTTGGGAAAAGGAGGTACCGCTGGAAAGTAACTGCTGCGAGCCCTACCTGGTTCCACAGGCCTTAACGTGGGAAGAGCCAGGCGTGACATAGAGGACGTGGCCATTCCTTTTTTCCTAACCTCCTGCAGGACTCTCTCCCCACCTAGCAACCAAACCCCAACTACAAAAACTGCAATAAAAAAATGTTTCTCACCCTTGCCTTTTTTAATTTTAATTTTTATTGTGGTGAAATACACGTCACGTAAAATTTACCATTTTGAGCATTTTTGGATATACAGTTCAGTGGCATTAAGTGGATTGACATTGCTGTGCAACCATCACCATTATTCGTCTGTGGAACTTTTTCATCATCCAAAACTGAAGTACTTACACTCATAGATGATATCTCTGCCTTCCCTGACCACCCTGATAACCAATATTCTACCTCCTGGTTATGAGTCTGACTACTCTGGCCACCTTACATAAGTGGAATCCTGCAATTTTAGTCCTATTGTGTCTGGACTGTTTCACTTAGCATAATGTTCTCTAAGTTCATCCCTATCATAGCAGGTACCAGAATTTCATTTCCTTTTTAAAGCCAGATGATATTTTATTGACTGTATGTGCCACATTTTGTTTATCCATTTATCTATTGATGAAAATTTGATTTTTTTTTTCATCTTTTGGCTATTGTGAATCGTGCTGCTATGAACATAGGTACACAAGTCCCTGTTTTCAAATATTTTGGATGTATGCCTAGAAAAGGAATTGCTGGACTATATGTCAATTTCGTGTCTAACTTTTTGAGGACCCACCATACTGTTTTTTACTTCAGGCTTCACCATTTTACATTCCCTTCTAATGAATGTGAAGTGGTATCTTATTGTAGTTTTGACTTGCCTTTCCCTAAAGAAGAACGATATTGAAAATCTTTGCATTCAGTGATGTACTGGACATTTACATATCTTCTGTGGAGAAATGCCTATTCAAGTTCTTTGTCCATTTTTTCAGTTGGGTTGACAACAATGTCGTTGTTGAGTTGCCTTATTCTTGCTTTGTGAGACAGAGTCTGAAGTGTTTGCATCTCATTTGCATCCTGGTGTGTTCTTAAGTATGTCTGGCAAATGATGTCTGAGTGGCCCAATCATTTCTTCTTTAGGATCCATCCCTTCTCTGTCCCTCAGGTGGCTGCTAGCAGCTAATCATCTTGTGTCTGGAAGCAATAGGCTCCTGCTGAAGCTGCCCAGCAACACTAGACCAAAGGTCGTCTCTCTGCAGCAGGGACATTGAGAACCAAGTGTCCAGGGCACCCAGGGCAGGGGCCCATGTACAGCCTCCCTTGTGTCCCTGCACTTGACTTCTCATCTAAGCCCTGACCATCACCCTCACCAAAAAGCCATGACAACTTTTAAGAGGATTGTGTTCTGGAATGGCAAACGACTAAGTGGGATTTGTGAAACCACAGACAGGTGCAGAGCTGAGGGCCCAACATGGAGGGATCACACAAGCATGCACACACACACTCACACATGCTGGGACACGCAGGCACCATTGGCGTGTAGAAGTGCTCAGTCACCATGGTTCCTCCTTACTCTCTTTCCCAGTGGGAGCCCTTCTGCTCCTGTGCGAAGCGAAGCCCCCGGCCCCACCTGTGCTCCAGATCTGCTGTCTTTCCAGACACCACGCCCATCACCATCTCCTCTGACTTTTCTCACTCGTGTATGTTCAACCTCTCCTCTCCACTAGCTCTGACAGCAAACATGCATGCTCTGTGCTCTACCATTTTCAAAGATATTGCAAAGGCCCTCCTTCAACCCCACCTCTTCTTTCAGCTACTGCTCTGTCTTTTCTACTCTCTGCTCAGGACCAAACTTCTAAAGAGTAACCTCCATTGTCTCCTGGCCTCCCACTGATGCCTCAACCCATTGTGATTTGACCCGGTCTTCTCCATGCTGCTGACCCTGCTAGTCAGGGTTATCTGCCTGCAGTTAAACCCACTGAAAGTCTTAGTTTTGCTTGAGCTCTTGGTGGCATTCAGATTACAGTCAACTATTCATCACTTCTCACCATGTCTAGTGCCGCAAATCCCGGCCATTCTAGTTGCTTCTCTTCTCCCAGTCCCTTAACAAGTTTGGGCCCACAGGCTCTCCGTTTTCCTCACCACCTGTGTGTCAGCCTGCTTCCGTGGATTGCCACACACAGTCTCATGCGTCCCCACTCCCTGTCTCCAGTTTAGTTCTGTCTCGGGAACTCCGGGCATAGGCAGCTTGGCCGCTCTACCTGGATATTCTACAGACAGCTCAAACTCAACATGTCCCAAACTGAACAGCTTTTCTTCTCACCAAACCTGCTTCTCCACTGGTGTCCCCAAACAAACACGTGGCAGCACAACTGGCAAAGTTGCCTAAGCCAGGAGCCTGGGCGTCATGCTCAGCACTTCTGTCTCAGCTCCCATCACCAGCAAATCTCAAGTCTTGTGAGTATTCTAGTCCCCAGATGTCTCCTTTAAAACATAATTTTGTTTAGATAACATGTCATGTGCTATAAAATTCGAAGAGCACACAAAATATACAAGAAAGTTTCCTACCTCTGCCCCAGCCCCTCAGGTGTCCTCCCCAGGGACATTCACTCGTGAAACTTTATTATTGATCCTTCTGGAAATACTCTGGGCGTATCCAAGCAGATGTATGTTTCTCTTAGAAACAAATACAATAACATAGTAGATTAGAGAAACAGCTCTTGCTTTTGTCACATACTATATTTAAAAGACTGTCCGTATCAGAATAACATTTTTTAAAAAAAAAATCTTCCATGTGTCACCACCTCTCCAAGCCCTATTGCCATTCTTCTAAAATGGGCCACTCTCACCGCTCTCCTGCACTGTAGGAGTAGGTCCCTTACCACGCGTGCTCTCTCTCTGCTCTTTGCATGTAGTCTTGGTCTTCTACAACCCACTGTCCACACTGCAGCCAACAGGATCTTTGTAAGATGCAGCTCCTGCCTCCAACGCTGGTCCTTGGGAAGCCTCCCCCCTGCTGACCCCATGACCTCTCCACACGCCCCTCACGCTTCTTTCCTCCTTCACTCTGTCTCACCAAGATGAATTCTTTTTAGTTCCTGGATAGCATTCTATTCTCCATCCTGTTGGCCTTCACAATTTCTGGACCTTTCTACTCCTCTGCACCTATTTCTTTTTTCTTTCATCTTTGTAACTTGTCATTCACCCTATTGGTCTCAGCTTAAAAACCATACATTTGGTGTTGTGCGTGTGTGTGTATGTGCATGTGTCTTTGCGTGCTGGGGAGGGGGCTCCCACACCGCTAGGCCAGGTCAGAGACCACTTGCTGTATGTTTCCAGCCCCCCTGTAGCTCCTTTCCATTGCATGCCCTGCACTTTATTGCACTCACTGTCTAACCGCCTGGGAGCCCCACTACGGGGGTCTCCCTCTTATTCATCACCGTATTCCCAGGAACTGGCGTAATTTCCGGTGCGACATCTTGTGAAATAAATATTCATTGACTGAATCTATGAATGATCGACCCATTTTTATTTTAAGGTCTCCTACTGGCCAAACATACTTCAGTTTTTTTTTCTACCTCTCAAAGGTGATAAAAAAAAAATACCCACTTTTTGAGTGAGGTTGTAATAATGAAAGATAAGCACATAATGTGAGTGGAAAACACTTTGGAAAGAATAAAAAACAACGCAAATGTGATTGCTGGGGAATTGTTCATCCTGAATATACTTCTGTGGGGGGGGGAGGAGGAGGTGGAGAAAGAGAAAGAGGAGGAAGATAAGGAATGAGAGGAGGAAGAGGAAAGAAGAGAGAACCTTCCCGGCAAAGCTCTGGGACATAGCTCACTGAACCCGCTGGCATGTGGTACCCTCTGTGAAAGAAATAGGCAATCTCCGAGATTCCATGTCCCCTCCGGAGCCCAGGGGAAAAGGGAAGAGGGAGCAGGCAGGGACACCATTGCTGCGCGGCAGGGCAGGTGTGGGAGGTGGCAGGTGTGGGAGGTGACCGTGTGCCGAAGTGTTAGGTGGCAGCTGTTCTCCTGCCAGGTAGCTACCAGGCTCTTCTCCAGGCACAGGGCAGAGAACCAAGTGAGGGAAACGGGTGCTGCCCGTCCTGGTCCTGCCTCTGCAGTCCTCAGGCACCCGCAGTGACCGTCCTTCCCGCCTGTCTCCGAGCTCCCCAATTGCTTCAGAATAGAGAACGCGAAAAACTCTTGCTCTTGCTTGCCTCTGGGGCCAAAGGCAAGAATGGGATGAGGAAATTTTGTCCTCACAGGCATCCAGGACTTTAAAAACATGTCCCCTCCCCTAGATGTCTGCAAAGTGTTTTCCCAACAGGGTTCTGGGTTCTGGCAAGCACAGGGGAATTGCACCCGAGGAGCGGCCCTGCACGCAGCAGGAGGGCCAGAGGTCAGCGTCCCTCCCCTGGGCAGCCAGATGAAATGCCAGATAACGTCTGGGTCCTGGAGCTGACGGGGGAAGAGAAGGAGGGACAGTGCGAGCGAAGGCAGGGCTGCCTCAGTGGGTCCCCAGGGCAGGACAGGCCTCGCAAGAGCACAGAGAGGGGTTGGAGAGAGAAGGGCCAACTGTGGCGTGCAGGAGGCCTCTGGACACACCTGAGATCCCTCAGGGAAGAGCTGAGGAGACACTGTGATGTGGGGGTCAAGTATCATTCACTCCCCGGCCAGGCCCGCTTGTCTCTTAAAGATGAGAAATGTGCAAGGAGAGGGATGCTTGAACCAGGTCACCCTGAGTGGCGTCACACCGTCGACGGGCAGAGGTTGGGGAAGTGTGGCCCACCTCTCTGCCTTTAAAATAACCATTCTTTAAAGAATTACCTCACCATCGATCACCGTCACTTCGAGAACGGTAGCCCTTTTCACCATCCTTTCAAGAATCGGTCTGGCCTTTGTGAGAGGTGGGAAGGCACCTGGCAGGGGCCACCTGGGGAAGGGCTGGACACACCTTCCGCATTTCACTTGTGCCTCTTTGTCATCCCTGGGGTGGAGGCGGCGGCAATTACGGCCAGCTGTGCCCGAGGGAGCAGGGCTTGTGCAAGGCCGCTGCAGCTGGAGGGCCTGAGCATGTCGTCCGCACTTGCCTGTGCAGGGCAGGTATTTGTGACCCGGGCTCCCCTTGGTGACTCTTAAAGCGCTGTTCTCTTATCAG